GGTGGCTCTCCTCACCGGTACGCCCCCCTCCCGCCCTCGCGTGAGCCGTGCAGCTCGCGCGCTCGAGTCCCCCGCCCCTCCCACCCCCTGCCACGAGACGCGGCCGCCTCCTCCCACCCTCGCGCTCTCGGCACTCCCCGTCTACAGCGCAGCACTGACGCCTTACTCCGCTCGCAGGCATCACCGGCCAGGACGGCTCGTACCTCACCGAGCTCCTCCTCGAGAAGGGCTACGAGGTGCACGGAATGTGAGCTTCGCCTTCCTCATCCGCCCTCGTCCCACCACCGCCTCCGTGTCTCGCCCCGGCGCTCCGGTCGACCGCTCCAGAGCATCCAGAGCTGACTAGACGCGTCGCAAACAGCATCCGCCGCTCGTCCTCGTTCAACACCGGCCGCATCGAGCACCTCTACAAGGACGTCCACGAGCGTGCGTCCCGCGACAGCTCTCTCTCTCCCTGGCTTCTGCGAGCTCGTCCATGCGACGAGATCTCAGCTTGCCTAGTAAGAAGCGACGAGACTGACCCGAATCCCCGTCCCGCAGGCCCCAAGATGGTCCTCCACTACGGCGGTCCGTCTCCTCGCCCTCCTGCCCCATCCTCCCGCCCGAGCCTGTTCCTGACGGCTCGCCCTTGCGCTTCGCAGACTTGACCGACACGACCAACCTCGTCTCGATCATCGCGACCGTCCAGCCGACCGAGATCTACAACCTCGCCGCCCAGTCGCACGTCAAGGTCTCGTTCGACATGGCCGAGTACACCGTGCGTCCTCCTCCTCCTCCTTGCGAGCCAGGTCACGGTTCAGTGTGCACGAGAGACTGACTCAAGCTCCCCCTTGCGCGCGACGACAAACAGGGCGACGTCGACGGCCTCGGCACCCTGCGCCTCCTCGACGCGATCCGCACCTGCGGCCTCACCAACCACGTGCGCTTCTACCAGGCGTCGACCTCGGAGCTGTACGGCAAGGTCGTCGAGACGCCGCAGTCCGAGACGACGCCGTTCTACCCGCGCTCGCCGTACGGCGTCGCCAAGCTCTACGGCTTCTGGATCGTCAAGAACTACCGCGAGTCGTATGGCATGCACGCGTCGAACGGCATCCTGTTCAACCACGAGTCGCCCCGTCGCGGCCGCACGTTCGTCACGCGCAAGATCTCGCGCGCCGTTGCCGAGATCTCGCTCGGCCAGCAGGACACGCTCTACCTCGGCAACCTCGACGCCAAGCGCGACTGGGGCCACGCCCGCGACTACGTCGAGGGCATGTGGCGCATGCTGCAGCAGGACGAGGCCGACGACTACGTCCTCGCGACGGGCGAGACGCACCCGGTGCGCGAGTTTGTCGAGAAGGCGTTCGCCATCGTCGGCACGACCATCACGTGGGAGGGCGAGCGCGACACGGTCCACGAGGTCGGCAAGTGCTCGCAGACGGGCAAGGTCCTCGTTCGCGTCGACGAGCGCTACTTCCGCCCTGCCGAGGTCGAGCTCCTCCACGGCACCCCGGCCAAGGCCGAGCGCGTCCTCGTGCGTCCCCCTCTTTCTCCTCTCCCTCTCTCTCTCTCGTCCAGGATCTCTCGCCCGTACTGACCGACCCGCACGTTCTCGTCTGCAGGGCTGGAAGCGCCAGGTCACGTTCGACGAGCTCGTGAAGGAGATGGTCGACGCCGACATCGAGGGCGCCAAGCGTGCCGACCACGACTAGAGTGCTCGACTCGCCGCCGCCTCGCCTCGCCGTCCCTCGCCGTCTATCTCGTTCTGTCGGTCTCTCGTCCTGCATCTGTCGCATACGCAACCCTCTCTCTCCCCTCCCCCTCTTCCCACCTAGACAACCCTCGTCCCCCTCCTCTCTCTCACCGGTCCCTCCTCTCGCGGTCCCCGTGTCTTTTTGCGTTTCCTCCTCCCACTCGTCTGTGCTGTTTCTCCCTCCTTTCCCTCTCCCGGCCTCTCCTGCGTCGCGCGGCGCCGCCGGGCGGTCGTCGCGCGTGCGAGGGGCTCGTCCGGCGTGCAGCGAGCAATGCATCCCTTGTCGCGCCTGCAGTTCTCTCGAGTCGTTTGCGCTGTCCTTGTTCGATAGCTTGAAAGCGCGCTCGTGTGAGAGAGAGAGCGAGTCGGCCGTCGGCTTCATCGCCTCGCCTCATCGTCTCGAGCGTCCCACCTCGCTCCTCGCGCCTCGCGACCAGCATGGCCGCCGACGCTGCAGACGAGCACCACGTACCGACGACGTCCAGTCCACTCGCGCCTCCTGCAAGCCCTCGAGCCGCTGCGTCGTCCAACACCCGGCCCGACCTCGTTCGCGACAGCGAGGACCTCGACGTCGCTCCAGTCCGCACCGACGACTACTACGACGACGACGACCCGCTCGACGCGGCCGACGCGCTCCTCGCGCAGGACGACCACCACCCTCGCCTCACCCGGTCGCGCGCGTCGTCCTTCTCGGTCGACTTTAGCGGGCGCCTCCTGCAGCTCACGGCGTCGACCGAGCGCGGCGCAGATGGCAGCAGTGCGGCCGAGCGCGGGCAGCGACCGGGCACGGTCAAGGAGCACGTGTCGCTCGCCGGCGGGTGCGCGCTCGTCGTCGGCATCGTGATTGGGAGCGGCATCTTTTCGTCGCCGGGCGTCGTCGCCAAGGAGACGGGCAGCGTCGGGACTGCCCTCTTCGTGTGGCTCGCGGCGGGCCTCTTGTCGTGGGCGGGCGGGAGCAGCTTTGCCGAGTTGGGATCCATGTTGCCCATGAACGGCGGGCACCAAGTCTGTGCGTCCCCTCGTTCTCTCCCGGTCATTCTCCTCGACACGCACCGACTGTACGAGCCGAGGAGCTCACCGTGCGGCGCCCACCTCGCAGATCTGAGCGCAGCTTTCGGACCCTTGTGCGTCCTCTTCTCCTTGCCTCGTCGCACGACGTCGCCACGCGCACGAACACTGATCCTTTGAGTCTGCAGAGCATCGTTCGCTTACTCGTTCACGGCGGTCACGGCGCTCAAACCCGGCGGGCAGGCCATGTGCGTCGAGAGCGCCAGAGCCTTGATCGTTCGCGAGCCAGCACTGACCCTCTCCTCCTCCACAGTATCTCGATCATGTGCGCCCGCCTCGTTCCCTCGGGCCGTGACACACACTGACTCTCGCTTCACGCAGCTCGGCAGAGTACCTGTGCCGCATCTTCTGGCACACGGCGTTCGAGCCTGATCCTCGAGCCGCCGCTCGGTGAGCCGCACCTCGTCCCTCCTCTCGCCGTCAAGCGCCTCACTGACACGGTACACCGAGCAGGGGTATCCCGACCGTCGCCATCAAGCTCGTCGCGATCGCGTGCCTGTGCAGCATCTCGGGCGTGCACATGTGGTCGACCAAGGCGGGCACGCGCGCTCAGCTCGTCGTCACCGTCTTCAAGGTGCGCCCCGCTCTCCCCCTCCTCCTCCTCTAAAGGCACGTCTCACGCTCTCGCCTCATCGCGCGCAGGTCCTCGCCCTCGTCCTCGTCTTCATCGGCGGCCTCGTCTACCTCGGGCTCGGGTCGCACCCCGCGTCCGACTTTACCTTTGCCGGCTCGTCCGACAAGCCGGCAGGCTACGCCCTCGCCCTCTTCTCGGCGCTGTGGACGTTCGACGGCTGGGACGCGGCCAACTTTATCGGCCGCGACGTTGTCCCTGGGTCTTTGCCGTGCGTCGACGTGCTCTCTCTCTCGTCGTCCTCGTCCAGGTGCACGTTCACTGATACCCGAAATCTGCAGCCTCATGATCAACAGCAGCATGGCCATGATCGTCGTTCTCTTCCTGCTCGCCAACGTGTCCTACTTCCTCGTCCTCCCATTCGACATCGTGCGTCCCCTCTCGCCTTTTCGGCCCGAGCAGTACTGACTCGGCCTCTTACTGCCTGCAGGCAACGGCAACGACGACTATCGGTACGCTCGACCGGTCGCACGCCAAACCGCGCAGAACTGACAGTCGCGTCGTCGCGCAGGACTCGACTTTGGGCGCGCACTCGCCGGTCCGGTCGGCGGCCTCCTCTTTGCCATCATCGTCTCGATCTCGGCTCTCGGCGCGCTCAACGGCACCCTGTACACTTCATCGTGAGTCTCGTCTCGCCTCGCCTCGCCGGCGCTCGTCTAGCGACCGCAGAACTGACCACCTCCGAGACCCGCAGCCGCCTCGTCGTCGCCGCGAGCGAGCAGGGCTTCCTCCCTCGCACGTTCGCCACCTTCAACAGCCGCCAGAAGACGCCGATCAACGGCATCCTGCTCAGCACGGCCCTGTCGACCATCTTTATCTGCTTTGGCGACTTTGGCTCGCTCACGCTCTTTTACGGCGTGCGTCCTCCTCGTCCTCTCTCTCTCTCTCTCGTCCGGCCCCGACGCCGACTCGTATTGACGAGCTTTCCTGCAGGTGTGCGCCTGGACGTGGAACCTGGCCGTCGTCATCGGCCTGCTCGTCCTGCGCGTCTCGGAACCGACGCTCAAGCGGTGCGCCCCCATCTCTCGCCCTCTCTCCCCTCCTCGAGCGTCCCTCTCACCTCTCGCGCTGCGCAGACCTTACCGCACCTTCCTCGCGACGCCGATCCTGTTTGCGAGCACGGCCCTGTTCCTCATCGTCCTGTCGCTCTTCTCGAAACCGTGGCAGTCGCTCGCGGCTTTCGCGTTCTGCGTCGCCGGGACCGTGCCGTACTACCTGCACGTGCGGCCGAACGGTGCGTCCTCGCCTGTCCCTCTCCCTCTCTCGCGATGCGGCACGAGCAACAGGGACTGACGGCGACTTTGTGTCGTTGCGTGCGCAGAGCGACGGAAAGCGGCCGAGGGGCTCGAGATGACCTGAGGCGGCGCTCGCGGTCTAGGAAGAGTCGCTGTAGCCTATCCTGCATTGCGACGAGCATCATCGTCTCAAATCTACGTCCCCGTACACCTGCGCACGGGCCTCTTCGCTCCCGCTCGCCGCTCGGACCCCTTCTCGCGCACCCTCCTCCTCGCCCTCCCCCTCCCCCTCCTCGCCCTCCCCGCCATCTCGTCGCGCACCCTCTCGCCCCCCTCGCTGCACGCGCCTGCGCGCCGCAACGCGGTGCGTCTTACTCCCGAGGTGCGCGTCCCACTGGCGCTCCTCGACGAGGAACGGCCTCGCCGGGTCGCGCGTGCACGTCGGGCAGGCGCGCTTGGCGTGCGAGGAGGCTCTGCGAGGTGACGGCGGCGGCAGGTCGGTAAGCGAGGTCTCTCTTCGGGGTGCGCGAGAGGGAGGGGAGGGGAGGGGGAGGGACGCACGAGGCGGACGAGGGGGGCGCGAGGTGCGCTGTGGCGGCGGGTGAGAGCGACGCTGGGTCGGGCAGAGGCGCGCCGTCGAGGAATTCTGCGCGAGGCGGAGCACATCGAGGAGGGTCAGTCGACGAGCTCGAGGGACGCTTGCCGAGAGGAAAGAGCGAAAGAGAGAGAGCGAGACGCACTGTAAAGGAGGTCGACGGCCGGGTCGCGCACGTTGTCGCGCCACTTGGATAGGTCTGTGTCGGGCGGGCGACGAGGCTCGTCAAGTCCTGCTCGAACAGGCACAGAGAGAGAGAGAGAGAGAGAGAGCGCGAAAGGCGCACCCGTCGCATCAAGCAGCACGACCACCACCTCGGCCTCGCGACCCTCGTCGCGCGCGCGCTCGGCCTCGTCGCGCACAGCCGGGAGCAGCTTTGCCCGGATCCACTTGACCTGGCGCTTGGCGTACTGCCGCGTCGACGTCTTCATCGTGCGCACGGCGCGGTCAAACTCGGCGCGCAGCTCGGGCGACGCGTCGGGCCCGGGCCCGGGTGCGGGTGCGGGCGCGGTCGGCGAGGATGAGGGCGAGGACGAGCACGGGGCCGAGCTGCGCGCGAGCGAGAGGTACGGCGCGAACTCCTTGTAGCCTGTTGCGCGTCTCGCGAGAGAGAGAGAGAGAGTCAGTCGGTCGCACGTTCCCCCTTGCCGAGGAGGAAACGGAGAAACGAGGGCGCACCGATGGCCTGGTAGATGCCCTTTGAGTAATCGACAGGGTCGGCGCCCGGCTCGTGCGCGACGTGCCACAGCTCGTCGATCTCGCTCAAGAGGCCGCGCTGCGAGGGCGCGCCCCAGGAACAGGAGAGGGTCAGGAAAAGGCGGGCCGAGAAGGAAGGAAAGAGACAGAGAGAGAAAGAGAGAGAGAGAGAGAGGGCGCACCTCGAGCATCTTGTCGACTCGGGCGTCGAGACGAGGGTGCAGCGCGTCCGTGTCGGCGTGCAGCCAGAAGATGAGCGTGCGGAACCTGCGGCCGTCGTGCAGGGGGGGGTCAGTGTCGCCCCTCGACAGGCCCCGTGTCGGCGCGCGCGCGAGCGAGAGCGTTCTGCTCTCGAGAGCTCACCTCGGTCCCTCGCTCGGCCTCGCGCGCTGCTCGCGCCTCACGTCGTCCCACGTCCTCTTCGTCCACACGATCTCGATCGCGCGACTGACCTTGCGCACGTCGCGCCAGTGCCACCTCTTTGCGCTCGCCGGGTCGACGTGCTGCAGGAGGGCGTACAGCGCGGGGACGAGGTGCTCGGCGGTGCGGAGCTCGGGTGGGACGCGCGCGAGGGGGAACGAGGGTGGGAGAGAGGTCGGGGAGGAGAGGGTGGGCAGGGAGGGGAAGGCGAGGAAGAGGGCGAGGAGGGACGCAGGGAGAGACGTGATGCGGTCGAGGAGCAAGGGCGGGAAGTGGGCGACGTCGGCGAGCGTGCGAGGCTCGGCGAGGGGCGGCGGTGTCGCAGGGCGAGAGGGGGTCGGGTCGGGCGAGCAAGGGCGCGACGAGGTCACGTCGTTGACGAGCTGGCCGGGAAAGACGAGGTTCTGGAGGTAGTAGCTCGTGCCGCCGACCGCTATCGGCAGCGTCTCGCGCCCCTCGAGCTCGTCAATCTGCGCGCACACCGTCCGTCGTCAGTTACGCCCAACTGCAGATCCCGGGGAAAGACGGGCGCACCTTGTCGAGCGCATCGCGCACAAAGTCGTTGACGCCCCACTCGCGTCCCGGCTCGAGAAAGCCCATGAGGTGGTGCTCGACGCCGCGCATCTCGTCTTGGGTCGCCTTGTTGGTGATGACGTCGAGGCCGCGGTAGCACTGCATCGAGTCGTGGTTGATGACCTCGGCGCGGCGAGGAGGACGAGGCGAGGGTGAGAGGGTGCCGGGCGACGAGAGGGCGAGGGCGAGCTCGACGCCGAGGTCTGTCTTGCCGACGCCGGTGGTGCCTATGACGGCGACGAGGGGTTGCTTGCGCCGCGGTGTCGGGCTCGACGACGGTGGTGGTGCGGCGGGCGAGGTCGACATGGCGAGGCGAGGAGGAGGACGGCGGGCGGGCGAGCGGCGTGTGGCGGTCGGCAGGCGCACACAGGCCCTGAGCATACACAGCTGTGGGTGCTCTGGTGGGCTGCCCCGGCTCGTCGCGAGGGGTTGTGCGAGGCGGGAGAGGTCGAGCTCCTTCATCAGTTGGGCGAACGAGGCGGTGCTCTCCCCTCTCTGCACACTCTCCCTGCGACGCAGACCTGCTCTCGAACAGCACCCGAGCGACCTCGCGCTCGCAGAGCTGGTGATACAAGATGCGATGCAGCTCGTCTCGCGCGCGCGCCCGTTCTCGTCCCTCACGCTCGCTCGCTCCGTCCACCCTCCTCTCAACCCACCCTCGCACCCACCCAGCGCACCAATCACGCCCTCGCCTGCGCCGCCGTCCCGCTGTCCGCCCTGCTGCGCCCCTTGACCGCCTTGTTGCCGCGCTTGGTCCGGCTCGGGTCGTAGCTCTGCTCGAGCTTGCTGCCCTGCGCCGTGCCCGACACGTCGGTGAAGACGAGCGGGGCGCGGCCGGCGCGCGAGGCGGGGACGACGAGGCGCTTGGGGCGCGGGGAGGAGGAGGAGGCAGTGGTGGACGAGGTCGAGGTGGTCGAGGAGGAAGGGGGAGGGTTCGAGCGAGAGGCTGGAGGCGAGGTGAGAGGGGTGGTGCGCAGCGGGATGCGGGACAGGAGCGGGAGGAACACCGGCGAGTCGCCCTGTGCGTGCCGCGGCGCGAGAACAAATCAGCGTCCTGCCCGCGAGGAACGAACGAGGCGCCGAACGAGAGCCCGAGAAAGAGAGAGAGACGGCGGGACGCACCGACTCGACGTCGACCATCTCAAACACGGTCTTGCTGCTCGCGAGCTGAGGCTTGGCCGGGTCGGCCTGCTCGACGCCGCGCCAGTTGTCCGACACCTGCTTGACGCCGAGGTGCGACTCCATGCCCTTGACGAGCTCGGTCTGGAGCGCTCGGCCCTGCGCGCACCGGCGACGTACACCAGTATCAGTCTCTTGTCTCGTGAGAGAGAGGAAGAGAGAGAGAGGGAGAGCAAGGCGGGGCGCACCTCGTCCTTCCACTGCTTCTCGAGCTCCTTGAGGCGAATGATGGCGCGCACGCGGTCCATGCTGACGCCAAACCGGGTACTGACGGCGCGCACGACCTGCGAGTCGGTCGCGTCCTTGAGGAGGATGTTGTGCAGGTAGCTGTTGTAGATCTTGGTCTTGATCGAGTCGGCGAGCGGCGGCAGCGGGTTGAAGGTCGGGTTCAGCGGGAAGGGCTGCGCGCGCGGGAGGCGAGGGGGATGGGGTGAGAGGGTCAGTTTGGGGTCTGTGGGAGGGTGGGCAAGTGCGGGTCGAGGGCACGCGACTTGGGCCGCCGCCCGAGCCGAGCGAGGATGAGGGGAGGGCGGGCTCGTCTCGCGCGTCGAGTCCCTCGACGGGCACCTGCAAAATGCGAGAGAAAGGGAGCAAGGGGAACGCACCGTGTCTGCGATCCAGTTGGTCCTGCCCGGGATGCCCTTGCGGAAGCGCTGCCCCTCGCCCTGGAGCCACGCGCGGTAGCCCTTCTTGGTCGTGCCCTGCGGGACCTGGGCGGCTGCGGCTGCGGCTGCAGCGGCGGCATCGAGTGCGCCCGTGTCGGCTGCTGCAGCGTCGGTCGCGGTGGGCTGGGTCGACGAGGGTTCTGCTGGAGGAGAATCGGAGGCGGGAGTGCGAGAGGTCGACGCAAACGCGCGGTGGGCGGCTGCTGCTGGGCGAGTGGCGGCGAGGCGGTGCGAGTGTGCGCGCAGCGAGGGCACGAACGAGGCCATGGCGGGCGCTGGGCGGGTACACAGCTCAGAGCTGATGAAGACGAGCGAGCAACTTCAAGTGTGCGCAAACTCGAGACACTCGCCCTCCCTCTCTCGCTGGTGAGGGGCTTTACGAGGCTGGTGCTGAGAGACACTCTCAGTAGCGTACTGTGCGCCCTTACACGCACAGAGAGCCGTGGAGACGAGGTGGCCCTCACGACGTCGCTCCGGTCGCCTCCGCCGCGGCAGGCTGCCATCGGCTCAGTCTCGTCGTCCTCTCGCTCTGCTCCACCTCGTCCCGCTGCCATGAACCGCCTTGCCACCTCGTCCTTCACCAGTGAGCTCCCACCCTGCACCCGCCAGCTTCCTCCGCCGACGCGTGCTCACCTCTCCGCCCTTCCTCGCCGCCCCCTCCTCTCGCAGAGCAGGCCCTCCGCCAGTCGGCCGCCCGCCCGGCCGCATTTGTCCCCGCCCGGTGCGTCCACCCTCCGTCCTTCTGCCACCAGAACCCCCGCAACTGACGGCTGAGCTCCCGCCCGACCGACAGCGTCATCTCGACCCAGTCGATGGACAACTCGCAGGCGCTCGAGTTCCTCAACGCACGCCGCGCCGAGCGACCCAGCTCGCCGTGGCACATCTACCAGCCCCAGCTCACGTCCATCTCGTCGATCGCCAACCGCGCCACCGGTGCTGGCCTCTCGGCGGGTGCGTCCCCCTCCCCTCTTGCGCGCGGCCACCTCGTTCTTGTCCGTGTCCTGATTGGCTTCTTTCTTTCCCCCCCTCTCGATCACCCACCCTCGGCCCCACTACGCGCGACGGCACCGCAAACAGCGCTGTACGCCCTCTTCCTCGGCCACCTCGGCGCGCCCCTCGTCGGCGCCGAGCTCGACTCGTCGGCCATGCTCGACGCGTGGGCCAACCTGCCCGGCTGGGCCCAGCTCTCGGCAAAGGCCCTCGTCGCCGGCCCGGCCGCGTACCACACCCTCAACGGGTTCCGCCACCTCGGCTGGGACGCTGGCTACTGTGCGTCCGCCCGCTTTTGTGTCCACGCGAGGAGGAGGGCGAGTGGGGGAGCGAGCCAGCCGCGGCTTCCCTCTCTCTCCCCCGATGTGCACGACACTGATTCTCTCTTGCGCCCCCACGCACAACAGTCCTCCAGCTCAAGTCGTCGTACATGGCCGGGTACGCCGTCATCGGCGCGACGGCCGTCTCGACCGCGGCCCTCCTCGCCCTCTGAGCGGCCACCTCGCCCCTTCCTTTCCCCCCGCTTGTCGTCCCCCCACCTCCTTCTCCTTCCCTTTCCTACTGCAGTACCCTACCCCTCTCTCTCTCTCTCTCGCGAGAGAGGAGTCGAGCGATCTCGCGCCTGTTGCGGCGAAAGGCGTGCAACGCTTGTACAATCATCATCTCTCTCCCTGTCGATGGCGCTCGGGCGTCGCGAGGCTGTCGTTCCGTCGGGTCCGAGTTGTCGAGCTGGCGAGAGCTGTCGAGAGCGAGAGCAGCTAGCTTGGACGAGAGAGAGAGAGGACAACGCCCGGAAGGAACCTGCGACTTGGGCGTGCGCGACCCTCGCTCTCGTCGGCGGTCGTCTCGACGCACACTGCCCGTGCAGCTCCACCAGCGAGTCCACCAGATCTCTCGCCAGCTCAAGCAGCGCACCACGCCCACCGCCCCTCGGCGCCATCCATCCGCCCTCCCCCGACCGACCCTGCACCGCCTCAGCTCGCCCTCATCTCCCGCCCGACCCAACAACGCACGGCCGGCCATGGCGACCATCTCGATCACGGTGCACATGAGGTGCGTCCCCCTTTGCCTCGCCCCTCTCTCGGACCCTCGAGCTCGCGCGCTGACCTCCCTCCCTCTCCTCCCTCCTCCCTCTCGCTCGCCAACCTCGCCCCTCCTCCTCCTCCCCGCGATGCCCACCGGCACAGCGGCGGCATGGAGCTTCTCTTCTCCAACGAGCCCACCCACGCCCTCACCCTCCCGCGACACTACGCCCCCTCGCTCACGACGCTCGCGCCGTCGCCGCCCGCGTCGCCGCCTGCGCCGCTCGACGAGGGCCAGGAGACGGACGTGCGGTTCCTCGTGTGGTGGTTGAGAGAGTACCTCTTGTCGGACCGGTCGAGGCCTGAGCTGTTCTCGCAGGGCGACACGGTGTGCGTCCCTCGTCCCCCTCTCTCTCCCCTCCTCTCTCTCGGAGCGCGCACTGACCCCGAGCACCACCGCCCTTTGAGACAGCCGCCCCGGGATCCTCGTCCTCGTCAACTCGACCGACTGGGAGCTCGAGGGCGAGCTCGACTATGTGCTCCAGGACGGCGACGAGCTCGTCTTCATCTCGACGCTGCATGGCGGCTGAGCGTGGAGCAAGCGAGCTCGAGAGAGAGGCACGAGGGACGCGGGACGACGCGAGAGAGAGAGAGAGAGAGGACTATGTGCATTGCGGGACTAGACGAGGCCAGGCGGGCCGGGCCGGGCGTGTTGTAATCGTGCAGCTGCATCTCGATTCTCCTCCTCCTTCTTCATCTTTCCACCTCACCTCGAGAGGGGCCTCGTGTTCGCTCTACTTGTTGCCACCCGAAGCCGCAGCGGGCAGGATGTGGGCCTTGTCGAGCTCCTCGACGAGCTTGTACGTCTTCATCTGGACGGCGTTGCGTGCGTCCTGTAGTGTGCGGCGGCGGCGGCGAGACAGAGAGGCAGAGAGAGGTTAGGCGGCGGCTCGAGCGACGAGGGAGGGAGAGAGAGAGAGAGAGGGGGGTGGGACGCACGGTGATGGTCTCGTGCGTCTTGCCGACCTGCGAGGGGGGACATACCGGGAGTGTCAGTGCCTGCTACCGTCGCACCTCTCGATCGAGCGAGAGGGAGAGAGAGAGGCAGAAGCGCACCGTCGTGACGAGCCACCTAAAGTACTCTGGCGCGCTCCTCAAGCTCGGCAGGAGGGCGTGGGCAAAGTGGGGCGCGACGAGGTGGTCACTCAGGCCGCTCTCGATGATGCGCACCATCTCGCGCGCGAGCCACGGGGCCGACAGCGTCGGCGTCAGGAACTGGTTGTCCGTGTCCTTCATGGCGTCGCCCATCTGGGTCGACACCTTGGTCGGGCAGATGACGGATGTGCGCACTCGCGGGGCGTTGTAGCTGGTGTCCGTGTGGGTTGGGGCGAGGTGAGCGAGGTGAGGGCAAGAGAGGGCGAGGGCGAGGGTAGAGGGAGGGACGGACCGGTGCTTGAGCTCGCCGGCGAGCGTCTCGTGGAGCGCGAGGACAGCCGCCTTGCTGCACGAGTACTCGCCTGCCACCGGGTTCGAGAGCCGTCAGTGTTGGCTCCATGCGCGAGAAGCGAGACAGGCGAGAGGGCGACGCACTGAGCTGCGGGATGGCGGCGTAGGACGCGGACGAGGCGGTCTGTGCGGCAAGAGGGCGCCCGTCAGTCGGGGGTTTCGACGAGGACAGGATGGAGGGTGAGAGCGAGGACGCACCGTCATGATGTGGCCGTGGCTGCGAGAGAGAGGAAGAGTCAGTACGAGAGGCTCGGCGAGGGGAAAAGGAGAACTCGGGCGAGGCGCACTTCTTCTTGATGACTGCGCGCGACAGGACGGCGTCAGTCGTCGCGCCGACAGAGCCGAGAGGGGCGAACGAGTGGACGCACTGTACGGTAGGAACTCGCGCAGGATGTTGTGCGCGCCGAGGACGTTGACCTTGTACGTGAGGAGGAACTCTTCCGGCTTGGTGTCGAGGATCGTCTTGCCGCGAGCGATGCCGGCGTTGTTGACCTGCGAGGGGGAGGGGTCGGTCAGGGTGCGCTCGTGCCGAGGAGGTCGAGGGACTGGCGACGCACGAGGACGGTCGGGTCGCCGAGCTGTTCAGGGAGGCGAGGAGGGGTCAGTACGCCGTTCGCTCGTGCCGAGAGACGGGAGGAGAGCAGCTCACGTCCTTGCGGATCTGCTTGGCGACCTCGGCGATGGCGACAGGGTCGGTGATGTCGGCTTTGTAGAACTTGACGCCGTCTGGAGGGAGGAGGAGAGAAACAGGGTGAGCGGCTGCCCTGCGCCCTCGAGGAGAGAGAGGGGGGGAGGAGACGCACGAGCGTCGTAGGTTGGCGGTGCGAGGTCGATGACGGCAATCTTGTTCGTCTTGCGCGCGAGGATCTCGACCATCTCCTTGCCGATGCCGGTCGAGCCGCCCGTGATGAGGACGACGTCGCCGTACCCTTTATCAAAGCTCCAGACAGGCGGGTCGGCCTTCCAGCCGTTGTTGCGCGCGAGGCGGTTCAGGGTGCGGTGCACGGTCTTGAGCGCGACAAAGGCGAGGAGGAGCGAAAGCCAGCGGTGCGCGCGGACGTGGTCGACGAAGAGGTGCGACGGCCCGAGGAATGAGCGCGCCTTCCAGTACGAATAGGCGGCGATGGCGGCCGCACCGGGGACGGAGAAGGGGACGCGGTCGAGGAACCGGTTGACGCTGTGGGCGCGAGGGTGCAAGTGGGGGAAGAGGGTGAGCGCGGTCGGCGAGGAGGAGCGGAAAGGGGGGGACTCACTCGTCGATGGAGAACTTGGGCGGTGCAGACATGGCGGCGGGTGTGGTGCTTGAGGAGGAGAAGAGCGTGGGAGCAGAGCAAGGAGCGGGCTCAACTCGAGGTGGAGCCGGTCCAGAGCTGGACGGGGAAGTCGGTCGCCGCCGCGGCTCGCCGGCCACCGTTGGAAGCTCGAGCGAGGTCAAGCCGGGTGCGAGACCGGCTCACAGCCCTGCAGAGCCACTCTAGCGAGCGATCTCACCAACAGGAGGGCGAGCCCGAGGTGGCAGAGCGAAAGAGCGTCGCTCCCTTCCTCGCCGAGTGGAAGTCCACCCACCGCCATGCCCGTCTCGTCCGAGTCGCTCGAGGCCAAGATCCGCTCCAGCTGGCCCGACCTGACCCACTGTGTGAGCACCCACCCTCCACTCAGCTCAGAGCTGTCCCTTTCGTCCTCATCAGTTCCTCGCTGACCTCACCTCTCCCTTCCCTCTCAGCAAGTGTTTGACATCTCGGGTGCGTCCAATCTCTCCATCGACCTTGCCGCTTGGATGCTGACCCTGTCGCGCGGTCTCGCAGGTGGTTGCGGTGCCGTTCGTCCCCCGCCCTCATCCGACCCCGACCCTTCCCCTCGCCCTCGCTGACCGTCCCTCGCTCCTCCCGCCAGTCCTACGAGGTCATCATCGTGTCGCCATCTTTCGCCGGCAAGACGACCCTCAAGAAGCACCGCGAGGGTGAGCCCCCCCTCCCCTTCTCAGCCCGTCGACTCGCGCCGAATCGCTCACCCCTCGCTCTTCCCTCTCGCAGTCAACGACAAGCTCAAGGACGAGATCGCAGAGCTGCACGCTTTCACTCAGGTGCGTCGGCTGTCCTTGTCCTGTCGGGCTCGTTCGCCTCTGTCGAGCGTTCGCGGCCGACTTGGTCGACCCGTGCGGTAGACGCTGACTCTCTCTCTCTCTCGCTCGCGCGCAGAAATCCTACACGCCCGAGCAGTTTGAGAAGATCAATGTCGTGACGGCCTGAGTGTGCGACGACGCAAGGACACGTAGACCCGGCGCGAGAAGGAGGAGCCGTACCCCTTCCTCGAGCCCGAACAGCTGTTGTACCATCGTCGTCGCGCGCCTTGTCCCGGATCTCTCTCGCTCGCGAGAGCTGCACACGAGAGAGAAGAGAGAGAGAGCGAGAGAGCTGTCGCACTGCACGAGCCCAGCTCGCGAGCTACTGCGCCGCACCGACCCGCTCGCCCTCAGGTCCAGCTGCACCAACGACCGCTCCGCGCGACTCCTCGCCGCTCCCCCGTCCCTGCGGCGGCACACTCGGCACCTCGATCCGTCCCTGCCGTCCCGCTCCCGAGCCCTGCTGGCTCTGGCTGAGAAAGATGCTCTGCCTCGCGAGCGCGACAGCCGACTGCGGCTCGCCGCCCGACTGCCCGCCGCTGCTGGCGGTCGTCGTCGTCGCCTTTGCCGGGCGCAGGTGCGAGCCCGTGAGGGCGTCGTCGCGCAGGCGCGAGGACGACACGCGCGGCTGCGGGACGGGCTTGTGCGGGCGCAGGAGGCCGTCGAGGAGGAACGTAAAGTCGAGGCCGACGTCGCGCAGCTGTTTCCCGGGTCGGGTGGGTGCGGCGTGTCAGGGGAGACCGAGTCGAGGTTGGGGAAAGGGGAGGTAGGCGAGAGAGAGGGAGAGAGGGGACGCACCATGGCGCCGTGCGCTTTCGTCACCTCGAGCGACTCGTCGATGACGCGCCCGTCCTGGTCGACGCCGTACACCTGCCGCCGGAACATCTCGGCGTAGATCTCGACCTGCTCGCTCGCCCACCGAACAAAGCCTGCGTGAGGACGCAGAGAGTCAGTGAGCAGGCTCGACGACAGAGCGCGCCCGAGAGAGAGAGGGGGGGGGACGCACCCGAGGCCATGCGGTTGTCCTTGAACGCCGCCATGTACCACTCGCACGTGTTCTTGATCAACGTGAAGCACACCATGGCGAGCTCCGAGATGTACATCGAGATGTCGCCCTCGAACTTGATCTGGCGCGCGCGCTTGCGCACGAGCCGGCCCCGCGCGCTCAGGAACGTCGCGCGCGCGCGCTCGCCCTGCCAGAGGCGGAGGAGCCACGTCGTCGTGCGCACGACGCCCGACTTGCGGATCGCGTGGTCCGACAGGTCGTGCAGGAGCGCAGAGACGAGCTCGGTCGTGCGCTGGTCGAGCTTGGCGCGGAACAGCTGCGAGGCGTGCGCGTCGCCGGCGATTTGCGGCAGGATCGACTTGCCTGTGGCGCCATACTCGTCGTCAGTGAGGCGCTCGTCGTGTCCGAAAGGCTCGAGGAAGGGAGAGAGAGTGAGAGAGAGAGAGCGGGACGCACCCTTTTCGACCCAGACGACGGCGTCCTCGAACTCGCGCGTCGCGATCGAGACTGCGAGCTCGTCCGAAAAGTCGCCGATCCACGACAGGTCCTTGCCCGACGGGTCGTCGCGCCCGACGCCGAGAATCGCGGCGGGGCTGAAGCCGGACGACGCGAACGTGCCGTCAAATTCGGACCGGAACCCTCGCGGCTGCGCGTGACGAGCAAGGGGTCAGTCACGGTCTCGACGATGAACGTGACAAGGGAGGGGACGAGCGAGAACGTACATCGCCCTTGCGCGCCTCGGCCTCGCTGAGCATCTCCTTGCGGCGCTTGTTCATGAGCTCCTCGGCGACCTTCTTGAACGCGAGCAGGAGCATCTTCTTGTCCTCGGGCTTGTCGGTGCGATATATGATGGTCTCCTTGCCGCGCTTGATCTTGACCGCGTTCTGGAGGTCTGCAGGGGGCGCGAGAGGGCAAAGGTCAGTTCAGGCGACCCTGAGGGGGAAGGGGCGAAAGAGAAGGACGGGACGCACCGCCGGCGTCCTTGAGGTCGACGACGACGATATCGCTCAGGTTGAAGCACCGCTCTGCGACGAGCCGGACCGAGCCACCGATGCCAGGTCCTCGCCGCTTCTTGACCGAGACGAGCATGGCGTCGTTGAGGAGGAACAGGTGCACGGGCTGCTTGGGCTTGTACGTCGCCGCGTGCAGCTCGACAAACGTCGACGCCTCGGTGATGATGTGGCGCCCGGCGACGTACGGGAGGAACTTTTGCGAGCCCTCGACGCCTTCCCACAGGGCCGAGAGCTGCGACTTGTACAGGGTCGCGAGGTCGGCGATCGAGTTGCGCTGCGCGCGCCGATTCAGGCCACCTGCTGCGAGAACGTCAAGGGTTTCAGTTTGGGGCTGCGGGGAGAGGCGAAAAGGGCGAGGGAGGACTTGCCGCCCATGAGCAGGTCGTCGTCGCCCCACCCGCCCTCGAGCGACTCGGGCACCGTGCGCCACTCCTCGAGGACGCCCTTGAGCTCGAGCATCTCGTTCTCGAGCGTCGCAATCTCCTTCGAGATCAGGACAAAGTCGGCGTAGTTGCTGTGTGCGGCGATGCGTGGGTAAAAGTCAGGTCCGCCCGGCGCTCAAGGGGGGAAGGAGAGGGCGAAATGCGGACGCACTTGAAGACGCTCTTCTGCAGCTCGCCCTCGGTGATCTTCATCGCGCTCTCGAGTCGGCCCTTGAGGCGCCGCAGGTCCTCCATCTGCGCCGGGCTGTCGCCTCGCCCGCTCGGGAGGCTCTGCTTGAGGACTGCGCGAGCGCTTCGGGGGTCAGTCGGGGCACGGCGGCGGCGGCTGCGAGAGAATGAAGGGGATGAGGACGCACAGTCCTCGGGCTTGAAGCCTTCGTGCGCGAGCTGGTCGACGTCGAGGCCGGTCGCGAGCAGCTGGTTCTCGGCTTCGGGTCGGGGCGAGCGTGGCGGCGCCTGCTGCTGCTGCTGCGGCTGCTGCTGCGACTGGCCCGGCGGTGCGCGCTGTTGCTGCTGACCCGACGATCCAGCGACAGGTCCCAAGCCCGGCCCGCCGGGCACGAACTGCGAGCCGGGTGCTCCTGCTCCTCCTCCTCCTGGGCCGCCGGCCGGCATGCGCCCCGCCGGCCCGCCCTGCTGCACACTCGGGAGCGACGGGACGGCAGGCGCAGACGCGTAGTCGACGCTGATGCCCGGGTGCGCGGCGTAGGCGACGCTCTGCCGCTTCTTGAGGAGGCGCGCGCCGACGTTGCTCACGGCGCGAGCACGACCGGCCTGGGCGGACGAGGCCTTGCCGCCCTGCGCCGGACCACCTGGACCACGGGACGAGCTCGAGGCACCGGCGGAAGGTGCTGGAGGTGGCCCGTTGGAGCTCTGCGGCGGTCGAGATGAGGACGAGGACGGAGGTGGGGGCATCTCGGCGAGGGGCTGCTGGCGGTCGTGCGGATGCGTGGGTGCTCGATGCGGGTAGTCTCGAGTGTAGAGACGGCTGTCGAGCAGCGCACAGGGGCGCGAGCGACGTGACGGCGGACAGAGAGTTGCTCGCCCTCGTCTCGGGCTCGAGGTCGAATCGCTCTCGCTCAACCGGCCGACTCTTTCCTCTCGATACGACGCGCCAGGACGAGAGTGAGGTGAAGTGGAAAGAGTACTGCAATCTCCTGGGGCGTGTTTTTCAAGCACCGCCGCCCCACGTGCTACATCGGCGAAACGACAAACTCCCTCTCTCGCGCGCGTCTATCCTCCCTCGCTCCCGCCCGCCGCTTAGAGGCCAATCGAGTCCGAGTCTGCGGGGCGAGCATGGACGAGGGTCAGTCACGGCCATGGCGACGAAGACGAGGGGAAGGAGGGACGCACAGGGGAGGACGTGGGTGTTGCCGACCGCGACCGTCGTCGGCTTGCTCTCGAGCGCGCTCTTCGCCGCCTGCGCAACACGAGGAGAGAGAGACCGAGTCAGGGACTGGAATAAGACAGGAGAAGAAAGACAGAGAGAGGGCGACGCACCTTCGCGAGCGACTCGGCCGTGACCTTGTCGAGCTTGGCAAAGACGTCCTCGAGCGAGGGCGCCTTGCCGCTCGACGCGACGTGCTCGCCGACGAGCGCGACCTGACCCGCCTTGGTCTCGAGCGCGGCAGCGGCGGCAAACTTGGCCTTGGCGACGGCCTGCTTGAGCGCCTCGTCGCTCACGCCCTGCGCCGCCTGCTTGAGCGCCGCGACCGCCTTGGACGCGACGTCGGCCACGTCGGCCGACTTGGCCTGGATCGAGATGCCGAACAGGCCCGCGTCCGAGTAGGCGGCGTTGAACGCCTTGGCCGACGACGTCGACGTCGAGAGCTTGGCGAGCGGGGTCGCGCCCTGGCCCCACTTGACCGACGACTCGCCGCCGAGGAGGAGCGCGAGGACGGCGTACTCGACCTCGGACCGCGACGCGCCCTTGAACGCGACGAGGAGCTGGTCGAGGGCGGCGTGCGCCGTTGCCGGGATGCGCACCTCGCCGCCGTAGTAGTTCGAGCCCTGCTGCTGCTGGCTCGCACCGCCGGCCGACGACGACGTCGAGAAGAACTCGCCGACGAGCGACGACAGCTTGCCGGCGTCGATGTTGGAGCCGTACACGGCAATGTTGGACGGCGCGAACGACTGCTTGGCGAACGAGACGGCGGTCGAGTGGTCGACGGCCGTGTGAGGCGACGCGAAGAGCGAGTTGCCGAGGCCGTTGCGGAACGCGAGCTGGTGCGCGAGGTCGAACGCGTACACGCCCGAGTCGTGGATCAACTGCTCGTACTCGGCCTGCACCGCCGGGACGACCTCCTCGTGGTACTCGTGCAGCGGGAGCTTGGCCTCGCTGATGGCGTCGCCGAGCGCCTCGGCAAAGTAGGCCCTGTGTGCCGCGGTCGAGGGTCAGCTCGCTCCGTGCGGCCCGGCCCGAGTGGAGTGAGGGTGAGAGAGGGGGACGCACTCGTCACCTCGGAGGAACTCGGCCGTGAGGACGAGGTGCTCCCGCGAGAGCGACGTCGAGAGGACACCGCCGAGGGCCTCGGTCTCGCGCACCAACCGGATCTGGCTGCGCTTGTTGGTCGCCTGTGTGAGGTGTCTGTAGTCAGCGCGCTGCTCTTGACCGACTCGGGCCCTCGCTCGAGCTGCGAGAGGCGCGATCGGGGAGATGAGGAGGGGGACGGAGAGGGAGGGGCGAGGGAGAGGCGGTGGCTGCTCGCCGGAACGCACCTTGAAGACCGAGTTCTTGAGGACGTGGGCGACGCCGGGCGCAGGCTCGAAGCGGGACCCGGCGCGGGCAATGACCGAGATGCTCGACGTGGGCTTGCCCTCGTCGGCGGCCGCGACGGCGATGCCGTTGTGCGCCTTTTCGAACGCCGGGGTCGCGTACGAGCGGGCAAAGGCCTTGCGCGAGACCTGGGCGCGGATGGCCTGGGTGCGGAGAGCCGGGAGCGACATGGCTAGCGGGCTGTGGAGGGGAGCTGGAGGGAGGCGAGAGGGAGGTCGACGACGAGATGCGAGCGCTCGAATCGCCCGCTCGGCCAATCCGGCCTCTCTCGTCTTGTACCGCTCGCTCGCACCCTCCCGGTGCTGCTTCGAGCTGCCCACACTCGGCTCCTACGGCTCTGCTTCGTCCTCGTGCACTCGCCGCTTCCAACCCGGCGCGAGGACGCCCTCGAGCGGCTCCTCCTCCTGCCCTCCCTCCGCGCCGCTCTCTCGGCTCGCACTCGGCTCAGAGCCGCTGATACTCGAGCGAGGAGCCGGGCAAGGCTTGCAGGACGGCGGTCGGCGGGCTGACAGCACAGGCGGGGTCGACGACGCCAGCAGCGGTCGCGCCCTCTCCCGCACGAGGCCGCTCGCGGCTCGTCGCATCTACCAGCGCCTCGATAGAGCTGCATGTGCGTCCTCGGCCATCGAGTCGATGTGCGCAGTACTTGTCCGCACGCTCCCGCACGAGCTCCAGTTGCCAGTTGCGGCGCGCTCGCACCCGGCTTCTCTGCCCTCGTCCCGCTTCTGTTCCCGCCGTGTGCCCTCTTGCTTGTCGTCGGCGAGCTCTCTCTTTGCTCTGCTGCACGCGTCAACCTACTGCTTGAGCCCCTCTGCCCTCATGGCGACGCCCGGCCTGAGCGACGCTCCCCTCGCCGTCCCGCCGCAGCTGCGGGACTTTTCGCTCGGGCAGCTGCAAGCCGCCCTCGTCGCACAGCTCTTTGTCGGCATCTTCTACGTGCGTGCTCTCTGTCCCTGCCCCCATTTCCGCCCCCGGCGCAGCGTCACTCATGCTCCTCTCGCGCAGGCGACCCACGTCCTGTCGACGATCCAGTACTACCGCAAGTTTGGCGGTCGCGAAGGCGACAAGAAGTCGGTCCAGGCCTACGTTGCAGTCGCGCTGTTCGTCGGGACGATGTTCGCCGCTATAAACCTGGCCGTGCGTCCTCCTCCCTCTTCGCCTCGAGCCGCGACGACGAACGCCAACCTGACACATGTCCTTGCCGAGAACAGGTATCGTGGAGGTGGCTCACGCACACCGTCACCTACGGGTTCACGGACCTGGTCGTGAGAGACTCGGACATCGTCTGGTCCTGGACGCTCGGGACCGTGCGTCCCCTCACTCTCTCTCCCACTCTCTCTCTCTCTCTCCCCCCCTTTCTCTCGTCAGTCCTTCCTCGTCAACTGACATCAACAACTGCCCCGACAGTTCGCGGTGACGACCGAGGCGTACTGGGTCTGGCGCGTCTACAGAGTGCGCTCGAGCCTTCCCCTCCTTGTCGGCCTCGTCCCGAGCACTCACTCGTTCACGCGCGCGCAGGTGTCGAGGCAGATTTTCGTGCGCGTCGTCGCCATCACGCTCTTGGCCATGTCGAACGCGTCGTTCATTGCCCTGTCGTGCGTCGTCACCTCCCAGAGATTCGGCGTCGGCATCAGGGTCAAGCAGGTGCGTCGTCTCGTCTCCCTCTCTCTGCCCCTCTGGACCCTCAAGACTGACGCACTCCTTCCTGTCTGGCAGCTTCAGCTATGCGCTCTCATCGTGCGGCCCCTCGAGACAATTCGCTGCGGCCGGACCTGACCTCGACCTTGCCAACAGGGCATCTGGCTGCTCACGGTCGACTACATGTGGTGCGGCGGCGTGCTCGCGTACGAGCTCGTGTGGCGTCGACGCACTCGAGTCGTCCGCTCGAACCTCGTGTCGGCCTTTACCGCCCTCGCGCTCAAGACGTCCGTGTTCATCTGCGCGTCCCGCTCTCTCCCCTCCTGCCCTGAGTCGGTCCCTCTGACCCTCAGCACCCTGCTCCAGGCTTGTTCACCATCGCCGGCGCCATCTGCATCACCATCTCTTTTCGCAACGTCGACACGGCAGCTTTCCACGTGCGTCCCTCTCGAACGCTTTCTCGACGTCGACCCGCACGCACGCGGTACTGACCCGTCGAATTCGATAGGCTTTCCTGTTCGTCGTCTTTCTCGTCGAGCGCGTGCGCCATCTACAGTGCGTCCCCTCCTCCTTTCCCATCTCGTTCGTCCTTTGCGTCTCTTTTATCGTGTAGACTGCTCGCACTCGCAGGACTCGCAGCACATTTCTCGGCATCTCACTCGAGAGCAGTTCGGCGTCGCGAGAAGAGAGACTTTGCAGTGCGAGAGTGCGAAAGGTGGCACGCAACGACGAGGGCGAGAAGGGGGGGAGCTAGGAGCGACAACAAGGGAGGGAAGGACAAGGCAAGACCGAGGGAAGACAAGGGCACTGCGGAAAGAAAGAGAGAGAGAGAGAGAGGACCGTACAACCCGAGAAACCCTGAGCGACCGCCGACGACGCCCTCGACGACGACGACCACCACCACCGCGTGCACGACGCCCGCCCGCCCGCTCACCACACACGCTGACCGGCGATCGACGTCGCGTACGGCTCGGCAGGCGACGCCGTCCCGTCATCGTCGTCGTCGTCGTCGCTGCTCGCGCTCAGCTCCGAGTCCGAGTCGCCGCGAGCGCGACCAGCATGCGGGAAGCGGCCGCCGGCCTGGAGCTGCGCCTGGAGGTACAGGCCCGTGCCCGTCGTGTGCCGCCGAGGGAGCGTGGCCGTGCCCGGGTGGCGCTCGCCGTTCGGGCGCGAGCGGTGGTGCTGCTGCTGCTGCTGCTGCTGCCGCTGCGGGTCGGCGCCGCTCGGTGCGGCGTGCGGCGGCGAGAAGCGCGTCGCCGGGGACGGGTTGGGCGCGCGCACGCCGCCGTCGTCGGTGACGGCGCGGAGCGGGCCGGGAGGAGGTGGCGGGGGAGGAGCGGCGAGCTGGGTCGACGACGCCGGGCGCTGCGGGAGTGGCTGACCGGGCATGGTCGGGCGCCGAGGTGCTGCGCCGCCCATGACACGGTTGCGCATCTGGCGCTCCCACAAGAGGTTGCGGCGCAGCGACTCGCTGAGCTCGGTGGCGAGCATGGCGCGGCGGGTCGTGCGCGGCGTCTGCGGCGGCGCCGCGATCGTCGCCTCCTCGAGCTCGCGTTGACGACGAGCGAGGGCGGCGGCGGCGGCCGCCTTGGCCTCGGCGTCGTCGTCGACGTCCTCGTACTCGGACGAGTGGCTCGCCGAGCCGGCTGCGGGCCGCGGCGCCGCCTCGTCGCCGTCCTCCTCCTCGGAGCTCGACTCGAGCTCGACGTGCTCGGGCTTGCCCTTGAGGAAGCTCTTGGTCCTCGGCGGGGCCGGGCGCGCCTCGAGGCCGCTCGTCGACTTGGACGGCCGCAGCTGGCTCATGGTCGGCAGCGCCGACATGCTCTTGTGCGGCCGCCGCATGCCGCCCTCGGTCGGCGTCGGCAGGCGGTTGACCTCCTCCATGTAGTCCTCGGGGTGGAAGAGCTGCGAGAGGAGGCCCGGCGGCCGGCGCGTGAGCTCGCCCGGCGCGCCCATGGTCGCCGTCGACGCCGTGCGCTGCAGCGCGTCGGCGGGCCGCTTGGCGAACAGCGTCGCCGTGTCGAACCCGTCGCGCTGTGCGCCGCCGTTGCGCCCGCCGCCGGGCGCCTTGGCCGCCGAGTTGCGCGCGATGTCCGAGTCGGTCGAGTACTCGGACCCCCACCCACTCGAGCCGTCCTCCTCGTCGTCGTCGTCCGAGTCCCAGTCCGAGTCGTCCTCCTCCTGCTCTGCCGGCGCGAGCGCAGGCTGCTTGCCCTTGCCCTTGCCGTTGAGCGCGGCGCCGGCCTTGAGCGCCAACCCCGACGACGGCGACAGCGACGCCTTGGCCGCCTTGAGGCACGACGGCGGCGACACGACGACGCTCGCGCCGCCGCCCGTCGTGCGCGACTCGCGCGAGCGCGACGACGACTGGTCCTCGTCCGAGTCCGGGCTCGAGATGAAGAAGATCTTCTTGCCCGTGCCGGGCGCTTTGGGCTGGCGCAAAGCTGACGGGCCGGGCGTGGGCGCGTTGGCCGACGGGACGGGCACCTTGAGCGGCGTCGCGGCGGCGCCGCCGGCGGTGGTCGAGCCCGACGTGCGCCCGGCCGACGACGGCGAGCGAGTTGCGCCCGCCGCCGCCGCCGCGGTCGACGGCCCCGCGCGTGGCGGGCTCGCGCCGAGCGACGCGGCAAACGTGGCCGGCGTCGGCGGAGGCGCGATGCGGCCCGGGCCCGGCCTCGTCTCGATCGACGACGGCGCAAAGCCCTTGACGAAGCTCTGGGGCTTGAACGACGACGCGAGCTCGGCCGTGCTCTGCGCGCGCCGGTTGAGCGTCACGTCGCTACGGCTGCGCGAGTGGCTCAGGGCGAGCATGGCCGTCTCGGACGGCGTCATGGTGACGACGGGCTCGGGCTCGTCGACGGGCGAGGGCGGGCTCGCCGGACTGAGCGGCGTCGGCGGGCGCGAGCGGCGAGTCGGGCCCGACGCGGCTGCGGCTGCGGCTGTCGCGGGGAGGGTCGACATGGCGAGGCCGGAAGGGACGCGTCGAGAGCTGAGGGCGGCGGACGAGGCGGGCGGGACGGCCGAGGCCGGGGCGGGTGCGGCTGCGGCGGCGAGGGTCGGGAGGGTATGTGCGGGCGACGACACCGAGCGCGACATGCACGGCGAGCCGGCGGGCGTCGAGCGGCGCGTCGAGTTGGTCGAGCTCTTGGTCGACGCCGACGACGAGCGGCCCGTCGGCGACGAGGGCGCCGAGGCCGTGAGCGACGCCGCGTTGAGGTTGTCGGGCGCGCTCGACATGCGCGAGCCGAGCGCCGGCTTGATCGACGACACGTCGTGCAGGCTGCGCGCCTTGCCGAGGTGCGGGATCTCGGGCAGGCGCTGCAGGTCGGCGATCATGCGCTGGAGCGACCCGCCGCTGATGGTGCAGTCGCGCGAGAAGCCGCGGCGGCTCAACGGCGGGCGCCCGCCGTCCTCGGCGCGTGCTCGCGGCGCCTCGCCGAGTGCGGTAGGCGGCGCGGGCGAGGCCGGGACCGAGACGGTGCGGCCTCGAGGTGGCGCGGGCGGCGAGACGGACGCGGCGACGGCGGACCGGGCCTTGCGCGCCACCTTGGACCGGCCCGCGCGCACCTCGGTCGGCGAGCTGCGGTCGGCAAGCTGCTCGGGCCCGGACAGGTGGCGCTCGTCGCCGACGTCGTCCTCATCGGCCGACGAGTCGTCGCTGCCCGACGTCTCCTCCCACTCGCCCTCCGGGTCGCTCCAGCCGTTGTCGGCCGCGTCGTGGTGGATCTGGGCGTGCGACGGCGCGTCGTGGTGGTCGGCGTCGCGAGCGAGGCGGACGTGGTCGTCGCGGCGGCCCGAGTCGAACCAGAGGCGCCACGACAGGTTCTCGAGGCGGCGGCCGTTCTGCAGGCTGTCCTTGCAGCGCGTGAAAACTGCGTGCGGCGAGGCGAGAGTCAGTGCGAGGATCGACCGGGATCCAGGGAGGACGACAAGCACGACGAGGGGCTTGAAAGGCTCACCGCCCCAGAGCTCGGAGAGCGAGTCGCTGTCGAGCTCGCCGAGGCTCGCGAGCGAGTCGGGTGCGAGGGCGAGGACGTGGGTCGGGAGCGTGGCGTGCATGGCGCACCCGCGCACGCGCACTCGGAGGGAGGGGTGAGGATGTAGGTCGAGGGGAGGGAGAGGCCGACTTTGGGTCGGCGTCGTCCGGGGAAGAGCGAGCGGTCGATTTCGCTCGCGCGCTCTGCTGTGCTCGAGGGCGAGGGCTGGCGGTGTGCCACGCTGCAGAGGTAGAACGCAGTGAGCACCGCCCTGGGCCTGCGAAAGGGACGAGGACCGGACGGACAAAAGAGGCCGCGGTCGCGCGGGGGTCGGAGGCGTAGGCGGAGGGGCGCGGGGCTAGGTCGGGGCCAACCTCGGGCTGGCGATGCTTGGGCGCTGGTGTCGGGCTGCGAGCAAGCTCTACTTCGAGCGAGGTCGTCGTGGTGGCGAGAGCGGGAGAGCGATGGACGAGCGGGCAACACGACGGTCACCTGGCACGCTGCCGCCATGCCGCACGCTCGCCCGCTCGCTCGACTCTCACGGCCGGCTTCCGCATTCGACTCACGCGCGTGCTGCGGCCGGCGCCATTTTCCGGCCGCGCCTGCAGCTTCCCTCGCTCTTCCCTCTCTCGCTCGACGCCGCTCTCGCTATGTATGTACAGTGCTGCACGTTCGACCGTCGCACGCCGCCCGTCGCGCTGTTGAGCGGTGCCTGGCAACGGCTAGCCGCGCATGGAGCGGTCGCCGAGCGACGCTCACAATATTGCTTCGCGCGCTCGGCAAATCGATCACGGCTGTCGCATGTCGGTAGCGTCTCGTCCGGCTCTTCCTCAGCGTGCCGGGCAGACAGACGCACGCCCCCCCCCCCCACGGCAAGCTGCGAAGTCGAGGCGCGGAGGCGAGCGTGGGCGACCAAGGAGGCTGAATGGCATTCACCTCGAGTGCTCGAGCGGGCCTCTCGGCAGCGTCCAGACTCGGAGAGCGCGGCAGGGAGGGAAAGCCCGGCTCGCTTCCGCCGGTCTCGGGGCGAGGATGGTCGCGCGAGGAGGAGCGCGAGGAGGAGGTCGCCCGGTCACGCTCCTCGAGGCGGGCTCTCTTCAGCGCACGCGGCCAGAGCAGCTCTCTTGCAAGGCAGTCCCGCCGCACAAAGTCCCGCTTGAGAGAGGCAGAGGGAAGAGCAAGCGGTCCGCCTCCCGGCCTCGCCTCGTCGCGCCTGTTCTCTTCGCTCCACTCGCTCCGAGGATGACAGCACACCCGCCAGTCCCGACCCTGCTCGCCTCTCGTTAACCCAAACCGCCCCCTCCCTCCCCACGCCCCGCCCACCGCTCGCGCCAACGCAGCCCCCCTCTCTCGCCGACACGGAACCGCGCCCCCTCGCCCGTCTCTCGCTCCTCGTGTTTCGTGCGCGCGCGTGCGGGTCGGGTGGGGGGCGCTGGTAGACGCTCGGTGGGCGGTGTGGGTGCTGGTGCGGGTGCGGGCGGGCGAAGGTGGTGCGAGGGGAGGAGGGGCGGGACGAGGGGACTAGAGCTCTCCGTGGGGGCAGCGCTACGGCGCTAGTTTGCAAGCTGATGGAGCGAGGCCCAAGCTCTGTGCCGGGTCGAGTGCGTGGAGCCGTGCGTGGGGGGACGGCCTGCAACGTCGACGGTCGTCGCCTTGGCTGTCTGCCTCGCTCGAGACCGTCGCTGGGCTGGCGCTCGAGCTCGCAAGCTTGGATCTCGCTCGTTGTGCTTCTCTTCTGCTCAGGGACCGGTCCTCGGTGCTCTGCGCTGCCTTGCCCGGCCGGCGTCGCGTTCGCCTCACCGCAGTGTGCTCGCAGCCGGCTCGGCGTGGTCCGTCCGCTCGGCACGTCAAGCCGCTTGCGCACTCGTTCGTTCCGCCGGTCGAGCTTGCTCCAGAGCTCGGAAATGCCACGCTGCTCGTGCGACAGGCCAGCCGCACGAGACTGGGCCGCCGACCAGCCGCACGACGGCCCGCCAGCGACGACTGCGCTTCTTTTGCCAACCTCGCTCGCCGCTGGCTCTCTCGCTTTCTCCCGCTGCTGCGCTCCCAGGAAACCATTGAACTCGTCGACATTGGTACTTGCGACGCGAGCGCACGCTGCAGGCGACGGCCGCGCAGCGAGACCGGCTCGGAAACGCTCGCGCGACCGAGGTCGAGCGCCCGAGCACCTGCCGGCGTCCAGGTCGAGCGCCGACGCTCATTAACGTCGCACACGTCGTCGTCAACGATGTCCGGACACGATTACCCGCACTTGACGTGTCCTCGCGCGGGCAAGAGCGCGAGACGAGTTGAGAAGGCCATGGAGAGAGCGGCGAGGTGGCGACGATGCGCAAGCAGGAGCAGCGTGAGCTTTGGCGAGCGCACTCGAGCAGGTCGGAGCGAGGGCTCTGTATGTTCCAGCCAGCCACAGAGGGCGAGGAAAGGGTGACACCGGGTGCCACGACGGCGCGCGAGCCAGTTAGGGTGGCCGGACGAGGGTGGCGAGCGTCGAGAGCGAGAGCAGAGCGTGTCGAAGCAGAGGAGCCCGGACACGAGAACAAAGGGAGCTGAGTGGAAGGCGGAGGAGGGAGAGCGAGGTGGAAGCGTGGCGACTTCGTCGGAGCGTCGCGTGCGTCCTCCTCCCTCTCTCTCTCCACCACATCTCAAGCAGCTCTCCCCCCGACCAAGCGCTTGCTCGACTACCTGCCACCATGGCACCATCGACTCGCTCGGCTCTCGCAGCCTGCCTCCTGGCGCTCGTCGCCCTCCTCGTCACCCTCAGCCCCGTCGCCGCTCAGAAGGAGGAGGTGCGTCCCGCCTCTCCCTCGACCTCTTGGCGCCACGCGACCAGCTCGACCGTGTTGCTGACTCTCGACTTGCCCCCTCTCACCACCCTCGCCCCTCCCACGCGCCGCCACCGCCGTGCCACGACCCTCCGTTCGCCTCCACGTCGACGTCCTTCGACTCGCGTCCTTGCAGTACGGCACCGTTGTGAGTCTCCCGCGCCGCTCGACAAAGTCTCTGCGCACCGTCACTGACTCGCTCGTGCCACCCACAGATCGGTATCGACCTCGGAACAACCTACTCTTGCGTCGGGTGAGCCCCCCTCTTCCTCTCCCCTCGCGTGATGAGGCCGTTGCACTCTCGCTTTCTGTGGTTGGTCGCGCGCGAGGTACTCTGTGTACCTCTTGGAGCAGCCCTCGCGAGAGCCTGGCGGCGTTCGGCGCGGTCACGAGCCGCAGCCTGCGCACCTCTCGCTGGTCGCCGTCTCGCACCTCGCAGACGACGACGACGACGACGACGAGGACCACGTCGCTGACCATTCCCGTCGTCTCTCTCCCACAGTGTCCAGCGCAACGGTCGCGTCGAGATCATCGCCAACGACCAGGGCAACCGCATCACCCCGTCCTACGTCGGCTTCGCGGCCGGCTCTGGCGAGCGCCTCGTCGGCGACGCCGCCAAGAACCAGGCGCCGTCCAACCCGACCAACACGGTGTTTGACGCCAAGCGCCTCATCGGCCGCCGCTTTGACGACAAGGAGGTGCAGCGCGACATGAAGCACTACCCGTTCAAGGTCAAGGCGGGCTCGATGCACCAGCCGGTCGTCGAGGTCAAGGTCGGCGAGCAGTCCAAGACGTTCACGGCCGAGGAGGTGTCGGCCATGATTCTCGGCAAGATGAAGGAGACGGCCGAGACGTACCTCGGCAACAAGGTGACGCACGCCGTCGTCACAGTCCCGGCCTACTTCAACGACGCGCAGCGCCAGGCGACCAAGGACGCCGGCACGATCGCGGGCCTCAACGTCCTCCGCGTCGTCAACGAGCCGACGGCGGCCGCGATCGCGTACGGCCTCGACAAGACGGGCGGCGAGCGCAACATCATCGTGTACGACCTCGGCGGCGGCACGTTCGACGTCTCGCTCCTCTCGATCGACGACGGCGTGTTCGAGGTGCTCGCGACCGCGGGCGACACGCACCTCGGCGGCGAGGACTTTGACAACCGCGTCATCGACCACTTTGTCAAGGTGTGGCGCCGCAAGCACGACGGCCAGGACATCACCAAGAACCTGCGCACCATGGGCAAGCTCAAGCGCGAGGTCGAGAAGGCCAAGCGCACCCTGTCGTCCCAGATGTCGACCAAGATCGAGATCGAGTCGTTCTTTGACGGCGAGGACTTTAGCGAGACGCTCACGCGCGCCAAGTTTGAGGAGCTCAACCTCGACCTGTTCCGCAAGACGATGCGCCCGGTCGAGCAGGTCCTCAAGGACGCCAACTTCAAGAAGGAGCAGGTCGACGACATTGTGTGCGTCCCCCAGCTCTCTCTTTCTCAATCTCGCGCCGGAGAGTCGGATTAACTCGTCTTGCGCGCCGTCCGCAGCCTCGTCGGTGGCTCGACCCGCATCCCCAAGGTCCAGGAGCTCCTCCGCGAGTACTTCAACGGCAAGGAGCCGACCAAGGGCATCAACCCGGACGAGGCGGTCGCGTACGGCGCGGCCGTCCAGGGCGGCATCCTGTCGGGCGAGGAGGGCCTCGGCGACGTCGTCCTGATCGACGTGTGCCCGCTCACGCTCGGCATCGAGACGACCGGCGGCGTCTTTACCAAGCTCATCCCGCGCAACACGGTCATCCCGACCAAGAAGTCGCAGATCTTTTCGACCGCGGCCGACAACCAGCCGACGGTCCTCATCCAGGTCTTTGAGGGCGAGCGCGCCATGACCAAGGACAACAACCACCTGTGCGTCTCCCTCTCGCTCTCTCTCTCTCTCTCTCTCGAGCTCGTCGTCGCTCGTCGTGCGCATGGACTGACTCATCCTTCGTTCCTCATGCAGCGGCAAGTTTGAGCTCAACAGCATCCCGCCGGCGCCGCGTGGCGTCCCGCAGATCGAGGTCACGTTCGAGGTCGACGCGTCTGGGTACGTCCTCTCTCTCTCTCTCTCCCTCTCGCGGGGCTCGTCAGACAGCGGACTGACCCTCGCACGCGCCCCTACGCAGCATCATGAAGGTGTCGGCGTCGGACAAGGGCACGGGCAAGTCCAACTCGGTGACGATCACCAACGACAAGGGCCGGCTCTCGCCCGAGGACATTGAGCGCATGGTGGCCGACGCCGAGCGTTTCGCCGAGGAGGACGAGCTCGTCAAGAAGAACATCGAGTCGCGCAACGCGCTCGAGAACCTCGCCTACTCGCTCAAGGGCCAGCTCGCCGACCAGGAAGGGCTCGGCGGCAAGCTCGACTCGGCCGACAAGAAGGAGGTCGAGGCTGAGATCAAGAAGGTGCAGGACTGGCTCGACGAGCACGGCGCGAGCGCCAGTGCCGAGGACTTTGACGAGCAGCGCGAGCAGCTCCAGGCGGCTGTCGCCCCCATCACGGCCAAGATCTACTCGGGCGCCGGCGGTGCTGGCGACGACTCGGGCTCGTACTCGCACGACGAGCTCTGAGCGCCTTTGTCGTCGTCTCTCGAGCACGAGGTGGGCGCTTGTCGGAGCGAGTTCAGGGCTGAACGAGCGAGGGAGGACGAGCAGGAGGAGGTACAAAAGCAGCAGCAAGCACAACCGCAACGAGTTTCCCCTTTCTTTCCGTGTCCTCGCTCGGCCGTCGTCGTCGTCCCGCTCGCGAGAGAGAGAGGAAGCTGCTCGAGAGAGAGAGAGTAAGCTGCTCGAGAGAGAGAGAGGAAGCTGCTCGAGAGAGAGACAGGAAGCTGCTCGCGCTCTAGAGGACGAGGCCGAGGAGAACAGGGCAACGAGATGCAAGCTTGCAGTGCAGAGCCGGACGGACGACAAGGGGTTCTACAACAACAAGACGTCGATTCCGCGCTCCCTCGCTCCCTCCCTCCCTCCCTCCCTCCCTCGCACCTCGCACCCACACAAAGGTACTCGAGGAGGACGAGGAGGGTCGCCCTGCGCCGACTCGGAGCGACTGGGCGAGGTCGGTGCGCGAGAGCGAGGGGGGGGGGCGAGAGCGAGGGCGAGGACGAGGGCCGGGGTCGGGTCGGGTCGGGGCCGGGTCGGGGTCCGTGCGGCGGACGAGGGCGAGGGAGAGGGGGAGGGCGAGCGAGAGGCGCTGCGGATGCTCGAGGAGAGGGTCAGCGCCCCCTTCTCAACCATTGTACTCGCTCGATCGACGTCGTCGCGACGCCGAAAGAGGGCGAGAGAGAGGGGAGAGCGCGCCGACGCACCTGGGTCTGGTGCGCGGCCTCGAGGAGGTCGAGCGGCGAGGTCGGGCCTGCGTGTGCGAAAGGGAGGGGAGGGGGAGGGGAGGGGGAGGGGAGAGAGTCAGTGTGGCAGAAGGCGTGCGCGGCACCCCGACCCGAGCAAGAGGACGAGGACGGGGGGACGCACCTCCTCCCGCTTCCGCCTCACCGCGCACGCTCACGCCCACACCTGGCCCCGGAGCAGCACGACGCACGCGCCGTCGGGGACCTGCGCGGCGAGCGGCTGGGCGAGGTCGATGCGCGAGAGTGGCGGGAGGGCGTCGTCGGGCGGGTGGGAGAGGGCGAGCGAGAGGCGCTGCGATGGGGAGGGAGAGTCAGGGGGTTGCACGTCCCGTCGGTCCACTCGCTTCATCGACGTCGTCATGACGCCGAGGGAGAGAGAGAGAGAGAAAGCGCAAGCGCCGACGCACCTGCGCCGGGTCGGTCGTGAGGTGGTTGCGGTTCGAGACGTGGAGCAAGTCGGCGGCGAGGTCGAGCGCTTTGCCGCCAGAGATGGACTGCCGGAGGTCCGAGTGCCGGGAGGGGGACAGAGTCAGTGCTGCGCTGCCCGACGTTCAGGCCGCCCCCGCCGAGAGAGAGAGAGCGAGTTCCGAGGAGGAGAAGAGGACGCACCTTTGCGGCCCACACCTCGCGCCCCTCGTCCGCCTCGCTCCCTCCGACCCGCACAGAGAAGAAGCGGCGCTCGCCCAGGGGCACGTCCCCCTGCCTGGTCGCATGGCGCGGGTCGAGCGGCGCGGCGCGGTGCTTGAGGCGCGAGAGGGCGAGGGCTGGGTTGATGGGCTTGGGCGGTGGCGCTGCTGTGGTGGTGGGGCCTCGTGCTGGTGAGGAGGTGGTGGAGGAAGAGCGAGAAGCGGCGGCTTTGGTCTTGAACTTGGCGAGCGCGGCTTGCTGTCGGGACCGGAGGGCTGCGGCGTGCGGTGACGGCGGTTCTGGGGCGGCGAGGCGTGCGTGACGGTCTCGGTCGGGGAGGAGCGATGTCAAGCTCGGCGAGTCGACCTGGCCGGACGGCGGTGGAGGAGGAGAGAGGGAGGCGGAGCAGGCGTGGTTGGACGGCGGGGCGTGGGTCGAGCAGAAGTGGGCGAGGCACTTTGGGCAGGTGAGGGGGAGAAATTCGGTGTGGCGGCAGTGGGCGCACGGCGAGCCCGTGTTGGTCGGCGGAGGGACCATGTTGGCGACGAAAGGTGGGGGAGGAGACGAGGTTGGAGAGGTCGACGTGCTGTGGTCTGGTCGCAGCGTGTGTGCGAGTGGCCGAGTCGCTGCAGTGCAGTGCTGCGTCGTTTCCCTCGCACAGCTCGAGCCAGACGCAGTCGCCCGTCGTCGTCGTCGTCGTCGTCGGTCGTTCGAAGACGTTCCCCTCCTCGTCGTCCTCCTCCTCCTCCTCTCCTCTCTCCTCCTCCTCCACACACCGACCATGGCCCCCATCCAACCCGAGATCCTCTGGGCTCAGCGCAGGTCCGTCCCCTCTCTCTCCCTCTCCCTCTCTCCACCCTCCCCAGAGCTTCATCGCTCCCTCCCCTCCTCCTCGTCCTCCTCCACCCCTCGTCATCATCCTCGCACCGCAGCCCTCACTGACTGCGACACCACCACCACCAAACAGCTCCGACACCGAGCCCGAGCGCAACGTCGTCTTCCTCACCATCAACGCCCCCGAGCTCGACCCGGACTACCACCTCTCGGTCGAGGGCAACCAGCTCACGTTCCGCGGCAAGACGCACCAGGTCGACAACTCGCGCGGCACGGCATCGACCATCGAACCAAAGGAGTACGAGTGCACTCTCACCCTCTTTGCCGACGCGACCGAGCGCTCGCGCGCCCTCTCGGGCAAGTCGCTCCAGGTCGTCCTCCAGAAGCGCGACGCAAAGCAAGAGTACTGGCCCCGCCTCGTCGCCGACAAAGGGCGCAACAACCGCATCCGGAGCAATTTTGACCTGTGGCGCGACGAGGACGAGCAGGAGGACGAGGACGACGACAAGGCCGACCAGTTTGGCGGCATGGGCGGCGCGCCCGGTGGCGGCATGCCCCCCGGCATGGGCGGCATGGGCGACATGGGCGGCATGATGGGCGGCATGGGCGGCATGGGTGGCGCCGGCGGTCCGGGCGGCATGGTGCGTCCCTTCTCTCTCTCCCCCTCTCCCTCTCCCCCTGTCCTTGCCGCCCTCCCTCCCTGTCCTCGCCCTCCTCCCTCCCCCTAGACTGACTCTCTCTCTCTCTCTCCCTCCCTCCCTTCCCTCACGCCGCAGGACTTTGCCTCGATGATGCAGGGCATGGGCGGCGGCGCCGGCGGTGCTGGTGGCGCGGGCGGCATGGTGCGTCCTCCTCTCTCCCTCTCTCCCTCTCTCCCTCTCTCCCTCTCTCCCTCTCTCCCTCTCTCTCCCTGGACGGAACTGACTCGCCCCCGCCCCCACCCTCTCGCGCGCAACGCCCGCAGGACTTTGAGAAGATGATGGAGCAGCTCAAGGCGAGCGGCATGGGCGGCGCTGGCGGCGCTGGCTTTGGCGGCGCCGAGGGCGACGACGAGGGTGAGGAGGGCGAGGACGATGACGAGGGGGTGCGTTTTCGACTTTGCTCTCTCTCTTCCTGTTCCTCTAGAAGATGCGAGGTGCGAGACGTCGAGCGAACCCGAGCGCGAGACTGACACGTTGCCCCTCCCCCTCCCCTTGCCCTCGAACTACAGCCTCCCCCTCTCGAGGAGGCCTAAGCGCCCACTCCCTCGCACCCTCCCTCTCCTCCCTCCCTCGCTTGTTCCCTCAACCCCACCTTTCACCCACCCACCGTTTCCCTGCCCGCTCGCTCAAGCCCGCAACCTCCCCGCATGCTTTCGTCGTCGGAGGAGGAGCAGGAACTCGCAGAAGAATCTCGAAGAAATGAAAAGCAGTGCAGCACAGGCGTTTCTCTCTTTCTCCCTCTCTCGAACCCTTGAGAGCGAGAGCAAGAGAAATGGGAACGGCTTGGCTGAATACAGGCTCGGGATGGACACGACGCTCCTCCTCGCTCCTCGCTCCTCCCTCCTCTTCGCTCCTCGCACTCACGCTCGCCCCCCCCCCCCCTCCTCCCTCGCTCGCTCGCTCACGCAATCGCGATCTTGACCCGCTCAAGCTTGAGCTCGAGCTCGCGAATGACGGCGTCCTTCTCGGCGAGCGCCGCCTTGAGCGCGCGCACCTCGTCGTCCCTCGGCTCGTCGCTCTCTCCCTCTCTCCCCCGCTCTCCCTCGCGCTCGCCCTCGCCCCCTCGGCCGTTCATCGCGCCGCCCACCGCCGCCGCCGACGACGACGCAGCAGGCTCAACCCCATTCGCACGCGCGAGCGTCGCCCCACCGGCGTTGGCCACCGTCCCGACGCTGTCGAGCGCGGCGGCACGCGTCGGGTCCGGGCCCGAGCCCGAGCCCGAGGCGGGCGTCGACGGGCGCGAGGGCTGCTGCTGCTGCTGAGGGGCGGCGGCGGGAGGAGGAGGCGCGGGCGATGCGGAGCGCGGGGGCGTCGGGACGGGCGAGGGCTGCTTTGGGGCCGCCGCTGCCGCCGCTGCCGCCGCTGCCGCCGCTGCCGCAGGTGCAGGCGAGGCGGCGGCGTGCTGCTGCTGCTGCTGCTTGGCGAGCGGCGGCGGTGCCTGGGCCGTCTGGGCCGCCTCCTGACGCGTCTCCATGTCGAGCAGGTTGGGCGGCGCCGTCTTGCCGGCGAACCAGTCCTGGGCCGAGAGGGCCGGCTGGGCAGAGGGCGCGGGAGGGAACAGGTCGGCTTGGAACGACTCGGACTGAGGGGGGGGGGGGGGGTTTGGCGGGGCGAGAAGGGGGGCGAGTGAGAGGCAGAGAGGGAGAGAGGGACGAGGGAGGGAGGGGTTGAAAGAGCGTGAGCGACCGACCTTTTCCGAGAGAGCCTCACGCTGAAAGAGGGGGAGCGAGACCGCTCGAGACGCACCTTGCGCGGCACGCGGAACGAGATGGGCTCGATCGTCGTCCCGAACGCCTTGTACACCCGGGCAATCTCGGTCTCGGCCACGTTGACCGAGCGTGCGGGCGCGAGGCACATGCCGCGCTGCGGGTGCGGGCTCGTGTAGTCGGACCTGCGGGCGGGCGAGCGAGCGGGGCGGCGGCGCGACGAGAGTGAGCGACGGCGCGCACGCTTTGACAAGGAGGGAAAGGAGGGGGACGCACAGGTAGAAGAGCTCGTCGTTGTCGTACTCGTACATGCGGACGTTGCCGTCGCTGTGGGCGCGAGGGCGAGGTCAGGGTCGGCGAGGGTGGGCGGGGCAGGGTCGACGAGTGAGAGGAGAGGAGACGCACCCCTTGCCAGCAAGGAGGAGGACGCTGCAGGAGGGAGGCAGAGACGAAGGTCAGGACGGCGTCGACGGCGAGGAGAAGGAAGGAAGGACGACGAAGCGGGACGCACTTGTTGCCCGGGATGAACATGGGGATGAGGCCGCCCGAGCTCTGGTCGATGTTGAGCTGCTTGACGGGGCCCTTTGTGAGCTCGCGCGAGTCCCACAGGAACGCCTGGCGGTCGCTCGTACGCGAAAAGCCCGTCGTGACGATGCGGTCGAGCTGGCCGAGCCACGTGACGCGCGAGCCCTTGACGCCCGAGTGCGAGTCGGCGACCGTGACGGCGGCGCTCCCGGCGCGCGGGTCAAACAGGCGCAGCTTCTTGTCCTTGCACGTCGTCGCGTACACGCCGCCGCACCAGTCCCAGTCGAACGACTGGACCATGTCAGCGTGCGTCTCGCTCTGCAGGACCGACTTTTGGTGGTCGAGGTCCCAGATCTTGACGTCGTTGCTCGCCGTCGCGACGACGTTGTGCGCTGCAGGGTGGAAGCGCACGTGACCCGCCTTGCGACCGTGCGCGTTCTGGCGCCACAGCGGCTCGAGGTCGGGAAGGTCCTTGCGGTCGCCCGACCACGCGTCGCGCAGGAGGGCGTCGTCGACGCGCGTCAGGGCGAGCTTGCCGTCCTCGCCGACCGACGAACGAGGTCGTCGTCAAACGGCGACCATGCCGTGTCGAGGACGGCGGCCGTGTGGGCGCGCACGAGCGGAAACAAGTCGGGGAGCTGCGGCGGGGCGAGAGCGAGTCAGTGTGTGGATCCGTGAACCGGCGGGACTCTTCAACCAATCCACCTGCACCGCAACGCGGAGCGAGGGCGGACCGGAAAGAGAGGAACGCCGACGGACCTTGCCCGTGAGGTCGAGAGGCGAGACGAGGAAGGCGCCGCCGCCCGAGGCCTGCCAGTTGACGGCGAGGTACTTGTCGTTGGCGCTGACGAGGTTGGTGTCCCACGCCGAGGCTGTCGCAGGAACGGGAAGCCTGTCAGCTCATCGTGGTCGTCGTGGTCGTCGTCGTCACGATGGTCGGCCGAGGGCCCGAGACGACGGAACAAGGGCAGGGGAGGAGGAACTGGGGACGCACCGCTGATCTTGATGTTGTCGTAGCGGTTCTCGGGCTTGGCCGGAGTGCTGCACGGGTCCGAAACAGGCGCGAGGGCCGTGATCAGCGGTGAAGGGTGGGGGAGGAGGAGGGGGGGAACGAGAGGGAGCCGAGGGGCGGCGAGGACGCACCCGTACGTGTGCCGGAACGAGGACGGGCGGACAAAGCGAGACATGGCGCCAGGCAGCTTGCTCGGGAGCGTTAACGAGTGTGAGAGCGTGATGAGACGAAAGCCCCGACCGAGAGCCGCCGAGCGAGCGAGCGAACGACGGCGACACTCCTTCCTCGAGCGAGCTGTCGACAAGGTAGCCGATTCTCTCATTGCGTGACAGAGGCACTACGCCGTACGGCCCTCGCTCGCTATCGGGCGCCAGAGTCCACCAAGCGGCTCGTCCTCCCTCCTCGCGCTACACCGACTCCTCCACACGCTCGCCCGTCCGCAGCGGCGGCGACCCCTCGCCCGACGCCACCGCCACCGCCGCCGCCTTGCGCCTGGCGAGCAGCTTCTGGCGCACGAGCCGCTCCTTGAGCTCGCCGCTGCGCTTCTCGAGCTCGAGCTCGACCGCCGCCTTGCGCTTCTCGAGCAGGGCCGCCTTGAGCGCCGTCTCGGACTTGGGCGCGGGGGCGGGGGCGGGTGCCGGGGTAGGAGGAGGAGAGGGCGAGGCAGGAAGGGGGAGCGGGTCGGTCGAGGGGGCGGAAGCGAGAGCGGCGTCGGCCGACGTCGACAGCGACGGACCCGAGTCGAACGACACCGCGTCAAGGCCGTAGTCGTATTCGAAGCCGTAGTCGAGCTCGTACCCGCCGGCGGCGAGCCCGACAGCGGCGCCCTCGGCCTCCTCGGCGAGGAGCCTCTCCTCCTCGAGCCGCGCGAGTAGCAGCTCCCTCGTCGCCTGGCTGAACGTTGTCGTCTGCCCCGTACCGCCTTCTCCGCCAGCTCCCCGCTCGCGTAGCGCAGCGAGCGACGCCTGCGCCCTCGACCGCGTCATCTCCTCGTACGCGAGCGCCTTCTCGGCCGTGAGCCGCGCCTGGAGCAGCCCGCGCAGGTCCGTCGCGCTCTTGGCGCCCGACGCCGCCGCCGACGACGTAGCTGCCGAGGGGGCCGAGCGCGACGCGAGCGCCTGGCGGTACTCGGCGGTGAGGCGCGCCTGGAGCTTGGCGCGCAGCGTCTGGCCGGCGTCGGCGCTCGAGGCGGCGGCGGGCGCAGGCGCAGGGGCGACGACGGACGAGGACGTAGGAGCGCTGCCGAGGCGCGCGAGGAGCGTCTTGCCCGCCGGCGAGGCCGGCCTCGCGCGCGGCATGGCATCGTACGGCTCCTGGCCGCGCGACGACGACGTCGGCGCCTTGCCCTTGCCTGACGGCGCGGGACGCAGTCGCATCGCGAGAGGCGCCGAGGGCGGCTCGGCGGCGTCGGCGCGCGCCTTGCCCTTGCCCTTGCCCGCAGCCGCCATCGACGAGCCCGAGTCGCTCGGCGGCGCGCCTTGCAGGCTCGCGCGCCCGTCCTCGGTCAGGGTGACGACGCGCCCGTTGCCGAGCAGGCGCTGCGCCGCGCCAAAGATACTCAGCATCGGGCGTGCGGGCCCACCAGCGGCGGCGGACGGCGTGCCCGGGCGCGGTGACGGCGCCGCCGAGAAGGACGGGCCCACGAGCGAGATGGCGTCCGAGTCGTCGGCCGAGGCGTGCGGGTCGGCGCCGAGGTCGAGGGCGGGAGGAGGTGTCGGCGAGGCGGTGCGGCGAACGGGCGTGTGGGAGCGCGAGCGGCCGCGTGAGGAGGGAGGCGGCCGAGAGCGCGAGGGGGACCGCGAGCGCGAGTCGGCCTGGAGGGTGCGCGACCGCGACGACGAGCGCTCGCGGCGCGAACCGACAGGCGAGCGCGAGTACGAGCGGCTGCGGCTGCCGCCGCGCTCGGATGGCGACGGCGAACGGCGCCTGTCCCTCGACCTCGACCGCCCGCGCTCCCTCTCCCTGTCGCGCTCCCGCTCGTCGCGATACCGCCTCTCCTGCCCCCTCGCCCACCTTGGCGGCGGCGGGCCGTATGCCCTCGCGCCCTTGGTCCCGTCGCGCCGGCTCCCGCTCGACAGGTAGTACGACCCGGTGTACCGCTCGTCGCGGTCGCGCCAGTCGGGCTCGCGCGGCGGCGACGGCGGCGCCCTGCGCTCGTGGCGGTACGCGCCGCTCGAGCGACGCCTCGACGACGACGGCGGCGGCGAGTGCCCGGGAGGGGACGGCTCGCGGCCGCTCAGGCGCCGCTCGCGAGGCGCTCGCGCGCCGCCGTACCCACCGTCGCCCCTCCCGCCGCGGAACGCCTCGCCCTGGCTCCCACGACGCGCGGTAGTAGGCGCAGTGGACCGCGAGGGGAGGCTCGCCGCCATGGGCGGTGGCGGCCTCGGTCGCGCGCGCTCGGCCGCGTCTTCCTCGGCGCGCTTGCGGCGCATGTGCTCCTCGAACCGGGGCGCGTCGCGCTGCAGGTCCTCGGGCTCGAGGACGAGCTCCTCGAGCTCGCGCGCCTTGGGCACATCGCGGTGCGGGCGGCCGTACTGGACAAAGCGGTCGTAGCCCTCGAGCGACTTGAACGGCGAGCGCGCAAACGTCGTGATCTCGTGCACGAGGTGCTGCGCGTCTTGGTCCGACAGGAAGTCCGAGATGAGGCGGATCGCGGCCGACGAGCGCAGGTCGAGCTGCGACGCGATCGAGACGAGGTAGGTCGTGAGGAACGCCACGTCGACGGCCGGGAAGATTTGCAGCTGTCGACCGTCCTCGCATGGCTATCAGTACGGCGCACGCCTGAGAGAAGGCGAGCGAAACTGCAAGAGAGCGAGCCGGACGCACCTCGCGGCGGATGAACTTGATGACCTTGGCCTTGAGCTCCGAGTTGCTCGCGAACGTCTGCGGCGAGAACGGCTTGAAGCCCGTGTAGCGGTTGCTCGCGACGTGCTTGGCGTACAGGTCCTCGCGGTAGATGTCTGCAGGCGGTCGAGTGAGCATGCGCACGGGCCGAGTGGGGAGAGAGAGGACGGTGAAGGGAAGGTGTCGACGCACATCTCCTGCGCTCGAGCTCGCGCTCAGTCTGCCGCTCGCGCCACGTCGTCTCATCCTCCTCGCCGACCCTCGCCGCTGACGAGTACCGGCTGCGGCCGTACAGCGCGTGGCGCGGCAGGGCCGGGTTGACGCGCGGCGGGCGGTTGCCGCGAGGCGGGAGCGGATCGGTGCTGGTCGAGGCCGAGGCCGAGGTCGACACGAGCGTGTGGAGCGGGAGGAGGTGGTGGACCTGGTAGTCCTTGGGCGAGCGGATGTTGTGGATCAGGTGCTCGATGGGCCCGAGGCAGAGCGGGCACTGCGGACGAGAGCGTCTCGCGCGTGAGTTGGTGCGAGAGGGCTCGGCAGAGTCGAGAGAAAGAGAGCGGGGACGCACCTTGCGGCTCTGGTCGGTCCATGCGCGAATGCAGTTCCAGCAGAACTGGCCGTGGTGGCACGGGTAGACGACCGTCTGCGGGCGGGTGAGGACGCGAGGTCAGTGGGGCGAGCTCGGCGTGACTCGCGCAGGGGAGAAAGAGGGGGCGCACCTTGTTCTCGATCGGGGACAGGCAGATGGCGCAGTGCTCGTCCTCGTCGTCGTGCCCGTCGCCGTCGTCGCCGCCTCCCGCCCTCGCGGCGAGGAGAGCGGCGTCGCGTTCGCGCTCTTCTCGCTCCTCGGGAAGCTCCTCGTCGTCGTCAAAGCCCTCGAGCGGGTTCTTGCGCCTGGGCCGGGCAGCTTCGGGGCTGTGCGACGGGCGGTGCGACGCGGGTGAGCTGCGACGGCGGTGTGGGGGAGGACGGGGCGGCGACGACGTCTTGCGCCGCTTGGAGGGCGGGCCTGCGTCGTCTGGAGGCATGCTGCGCAGCCGAGTGCGGAGCTGGCCGGCCTGAGCGAGGCGGCACGGGGTTGTCGAAGGTGAGCCCGTTCGGTGGAACCAAGTCGGTCGAGGTCGGTCCTCTCTCGTCTACTCGCTCGATCAACCGCTTGCTGAGCTCGACTATCTCCGAGAAGCACTCTCGACCTCGCCACAGCCTCGCGCGACTCGTCCCACCTCTCCCCCACCTTCCCTTCCTCCCTCGTCCTCATCCTCATCTCCCTCTCGTCATGGACTCGGACCTCGACGCGATCCGCCAGGCGCGTCCCCTCCAGCCTCGCCCACGAGCCCCAACTGACTCTCTCGCGCCCCCACAGAAACGCATGGCCGAGCTTCAGGCCTCGGGCGGCGGCGGGCCCTCTGGCGCGCCCGGCGGCGCGACGGGCATGCCGAGTCCGGGCGGCGGCGTGGGCGCAGGTGGAGCGGGTGGCTCGGGCGAGGACAAGGCCCAGCAGGCGGCGCAGGAGGACGAGCGCAGGAGGGCTGCCATGAGCCAGATCCTCAGCTCCGAGGCGAGGGAACGCCGTGAGTCTCGCGGCCCGCTCTCTCTTTGGTCCACGCCGGCCCTCTTCTCTGAGGGTCGGCGGACACCTGGACGAATCCGCCCTCGACCTTACACTCACTTGCCCGCACGCAGTCTCGCGGATAGCGCTCGTCAAGCCGGACCGCGCGCGTGCCATCGAGCAGCTCCTCATGCGCATGGCCCAGAGCGGTCAGCTGCGCGGTCGTGTGTCCGAGGACCAGCTCATTGACGTGCTCGACCAGGTGCGCCCCACTCTCTCGCCCCTCTCTCCCTCGTCCGAGACCTCGGCCCTGACGAGCCGGACCGTTCCTCCTCCTCGCAGGTCGAGGCGATGGAGAAAGGCCAGAGCGGCGGCGCGCAAAAGTCGGGCAGCAAGATCACTGTGCGTCCCCTCGTCTCGCACCTGTCGTCGAAGCGCTGCAGCTGTCGAGCTGCGGTGCCGTCGTCCGAGAGTTCGACGAAGGCTGACTCTCGCCCTTTTGCGCCCGCAGTTTACGAGGAAGTCGGCGTACGACAGCGACGATGACTGGTAGCTGTCGAGGTGCGCTGCGGCGCTTGTAACGATACGTCGGAGGTTCTGCGTTTGCGAGAGCAGGAGCGCTCGCCCCTTCAGGTGCCGCGAGCGGCCGCCGCACTCGGCGAGCGAGGCGTCGCCTTCTCCTTCGCGGCGTCGGGTCCAGAGAGCTGCTCGAGCAATGGAGAGACTCGCACGAGCGCAGCGCGCCCGCCGGCCTCTCGAAGCTCGCAGCCGGGTGCGACGACCGCCCGAAACCCGCTCAGCCGCACTCGTGGACGACCTCGGCTCACTCGCTCGCACGGCAGCTGTCGCCCCACGCCCTCGACTGTCACCGCTCGCCCACCGCCCCTCGCCAACCCCACGCCGTGCGCCCGCCGCTCCTCGACGATGCCGACTCCCCCTCCCCCACCTCCACCCGACCAGCTCGACTCGCCGCTCGCAGGCGTGCGCGCCATCCTGTTCGACCAATTCGGAACTCTGACGGACTGGGAGAGGAGCGTCTCAGAGCAGCTCGCAGCGCAGGCGACGCTCGGGGGCCAAGGTGGGGGAGCTCTTGTCCGGTCGTCGCGCGGCGTCGCTCTCGCTGCAGGACGGCGGACTGACACGCCCGCGACATACGCGCAGACGTCGACTGGCTCGGCTTCACCCGCAGGTGGCGCCAGGGCTACATGACCCGGACGTGAGTCGGCCTCGTTCTCCATGTCCGGTCCCGCCTCCTCGTCGCGGCGACGGAACCTGACTTCGCGCTGTTCACGCTCACAGACGCGAGATCGCTGCGGGCAAGCCTGGGCCGGGCAACATCGACGGCCTGCACCTCGAGGTGCGCGTCCTCGAGCCTCCCCTCCCTTCTTCCCTTCTCCTTCTCCTCGTCGACGCAGGAGAGCTGACCCGCCCGCTCGCGCCCACAGATCCTCGACACGTTGCTCGAGACCGCCGAGTACGAGACCCTAAGTCGAGCGTGGTCGCCCGAGCGACGGCGTGAGCTCTGCCAGGTCTGGCACCGGCTCGACGGTGCGTTCGAGCCTCTTCCTCTCCTCGAGCTCTCATGCGAGCCAGTCAATCGTGCACTGACGCTCTCTTTGCGTGTATGTGCGCAGCCTGGCCCGACACGAAGCCTGGCCTCGACGCTCTGCGCGCGCTCGAGCCGCCGGTCCTGCTCGGCACGCTCAGCAACGGCACCTTGCGCCTCCTGATCGACATTGTGCGTCCCACCCTCCTCTTATCTTCGTCCGCGATGCGCCTCTTGAAGCGCCGACTGAGTTCGCGCCCCGCAACAGGCCCGCCACAACTCGCTCCCGCTCGACGCCCACTTCTCGGGCGACCTCCTCGGCTCGTACAAGCCCAACCCGCTCATGTACAACCGCGCGTGCGAGCTCTTTGGGTTCGACGAGCAGGCGAGGGAGAGGGGCGAGGTGGCGCTGTGCGCGAGCCACATTGACGACCTGCGCGCGGCGGCCCAGCAAGGGGTGCGCCCTCACTCTCTCGCTCGCTCCCTCTCTCCTCTCCTCCTCGAGCCGGTGACTGACTCTCTGCACCTACCTCGCCCGTCCTGCAGCTCCGCACCATCTACATCCGCCGCGCGACCGAGGACGTTGGGATCCCGCACGGCGGCGACGCCGTCCGGACAAGGCGCGACGGCGGCGAGGTCGACGTCCTCATTCGCGAGATTGGAGAGGTTGCGCAGTGGGTGCGGTAGAGCGTTTGCAACGTACTGTCGTTGTTTCCGTCCGGTCTGCAGCAGAGGCAAGCGAGTGAGAGCGAGAGCGACAGCGAGTCGAGCGGGTGGACCTTCTCAAACTCGACGTGCGCGAGCGCGCGCTCGGAACGCCACGAGCCGAGTCGAGAGAACCTCGCGGGCCTCTGTGAGACTCGCCAGAGCTGCAGGTGCCCGCATCGAGAGCTGCATCGAGCGTTGTGCAAGGGCAAGCTGCGTCCGCAGCCGGGCGGCAGAGTGGGACCGAGTGCACGGCCGCTTGAACTGCGCGCGCTGCCGCGAGCTGCCACAAGCTCGGGGTACGTAGTGTCCTTCTCGTCGAGCGAAGAGTCGGACGAGGGAGCACGAGATGCGGGAGTAGGGGAACGGCACGACCGCGCGCGCTTTGACCTCGAGCTACACGCCATGCCGGCGCCGCTCCTTTCGCACGCGGCGCTCGTCCGGGGTCCTTTTGCCGCAGCGTCATGCGCGGGGCAAGCCCGCGTAGCGCAGAAACAGGGTGCTCGGCGTCGGCATGTGCGATCGAAGCGCGCGTGCGAAGACACGCTGGCGAAGGTTGACTGACGACGAGAAGTGGACGGTCGGCCTCGTTCCTGAGGCGCAGGCGCGGGTCGCTCGCCTCGGCGGGAAGCTCTCGAGAGCAAGGAAGCACAGTGCGCAGTGGACCGTGCGGTGCGAGAGGCGGCAGCTCGGTGGGAAAGAAGGAGAGCGCGCTTCTCGACCAGGCTCGCACGGGCGACGGGCGTAGATACAGCGCGCGTTGTTACGTGTCGAAGCGTGGACTCGAGCAGTGCAGCGCCCGCGCATTCCGCAACGAGGCGGCACGAGCGAGAGCGAGAGGGAAGTCCGAGGCCACGCGAGCTGCCTGCCGGCCAACGGTTGAGCTCCCTCGCTCTGCTCCCACCACCCAAGCTGCTGCCGCTCAGCAAGCCAGGCTGCACACACTCGACACGCTCCCTGCACGACCCGTCACGACCTACGCTCTCTGTCCAGGTGCGCCCCTCCCCCTCCCCACTCTCGAAACTCGCCGGCACCTCGCGACAACGGGCGGCCCTGCAGCCGGCAAGGACCTGCGCGCACGCCAGGAGTGTCGACAGCAGTCTCGAGCCGGCGTGGGCTGCGCCGCACGAGCGCCGACTGAGCTCGCAGGCTCGCGGCGGGCAGGAGGGCGCCGACCGCTCGCTCGACCTCTTGCGCCTCACGAGGGCCGCCAGAGCGTGCAGCGGCCACTGGTCGAGCACCTGCACATCCAGGGCTCCACACGCAGCTCCCCCATCCCCTCTCGAGCGACGACCACCAACTCGCCCCCGCCCTCGCCTCGATCCTCATCGCGAGGGGAATACCGCATGAGCATGGCCACGGTCGGCAGTTGAGGACCCGCAGCTGACACTCGGTTGCGCCCCTGCAGAATCCTGCACGTCTTCTCGTGACGACCCGGCCGACGACCTCGCGCCGCCCTGCCCTGCGCCTCACCTACGACTCGACGCCCTCACAACCCTCGCCCGACTGTCGACCGCCGCCATCAGCGTCACCCGACCCGACCCACGTCCATCCTTCAGCTGCACGACGCGACCTCGTCTCGCAACGGCAACGCGCCGACGCCCCTGAGCGCGAACCCACCTCCCTGCCTCCTGTCGTTCGGCACGCTCGCTCCTCTCGCTCGTCAACGCCCGACCCTCGAACGATCGAAGCCTCCCGTCGCCCGGTTCGTCCTCAAGCTGCAACATGGTGCGTCCCTCGCGCCTCGGTCACCTGGTCCTTGACGGCGTCACTGACACTCTCTCTCCCTCCTCGGCCCAAACAGGCGGCCTCTGCGGCTCCCCCTTCTCTCCTCCCTCCCTACGTTCCCTCACCCGCCTTCAGCTCGTCCTTTCACACCTCGCCACTCCTTCGCCCGTACCCGCACGACGACATGAGCCTCTCGGCCGGCGACATGACGCCCTCCCTCCACGACCCGCTCGGCACCGCCGGCTCGACGCCTCGAGCCTCGACGAGCTCGGCGTCGACCCACGGCGCGCCGCACACCTTCTTCGGCCGCCAGCGGTCGCACTCGCTGCGCCCGTCGCAGCCTGTGTCGTCGCTCGACGGGTCGGCGGCCGCAGGCCCGAGCACGCCCGCGTCCATCTCGGCCTCGTCGGCCGGCAGCGGCTACCTGTCGTCCTCGGTCCAGTCGTCGACCGCCTCGACGGCGCCGTCGTCCCTGTCGTCGTCTGCCTCGTCGAGGGTCGAGCCGCCCTTGATCTTGATCAAGTCGGTCACGGTGCCGCACTACTCGAGCTCGTCGGGCAAGCACTGCCTCTTTGCGTGCCGCGTCGTGCCCGACCTCGACGTCGCAAGCGCGGCGTCTCCCTCCACGTCGTTGAGTGGCACGGCGCCGTCGCGGCGTGAGCAGCTGGGCAAGATGCGCATGGCGGGCACGGGCGAGCCGCACACGGTGTGGCGTTCGTGGCAGGAGTGCCTCGACTTTAGCGCGTGGTGCGTCTCTCGCTCTCTCCAACCTCGTCGTCCCTCAGCACGGTTGCCTGACCACGATCCCCCTGCAGCCTGAGCGCCGCGTTCGCCGACGGTCGACCCGAGCACAAGGTGCCTCGCCTGCACGGCTCGAACAAGCTCACCAACCTGTTCAAGAGCTCGAGCGTCGGCGACCGCCTCGTCGCGCTCGAGACGTTCCTCGCCCACCTGTTCGCCATGCCGCCCGCCGTCCGGCACTCGCCGCTCGTCCGCCACTTCTTCTGCATGCGCCCGCACGACTCGGCGCGCCAGGACGGCTCTATAACGGCGTCCTCCTCGCCTGCATCGGCGCACGTCGAGCCGGCGCCGGCCGTGCCCGCCTCGGTCCCGGACTGGCTCGTCGCCGGCGACCTCGAGGACGACCTGTCGGCGAGGGCGGCGTCGAGTTCGCCCGAGGCGACCATCAAGGTGCCCCGTCAGCGGCCTGCGCGCCCCGCGCTCGCCATCAAGACGTCGAGTCCCGAGCTGCGCGGCACGGTGCGCGGCCTCGCAAGCGGCATCGAGCTGTTCACGCCGTCGCCGCTCTCGACCCGGAGCGCCATGCCGCGCTTCGGCGACCTCGCTTTCTCGCAGGGTGAAGCCGCCTACTCGACGGCGACGCCGGACCGCGAGGCGTTCGGTGCGACGGCGACGAGCTCGCGCACCATCACGCCGCAGCCGCCGAGCCGGCCCACGACGCCGTCGAGCGGCAGCGGCGGGTTCGCCAAGACGCTGCGCAAGAAGGCGTCCGGTGGGCTGCGGCACATCCGCTCGCTCGGCGACCTGCGCGGCGGGAGCAAAAAGGTCGAGACGCCCGACGAGCCTGTCCCGACCCTCTCGCCCGACATGCTCGCCGCCGCCGTCTCGTCGATCGCCCTAGACCGCGCCGCGTCGTCGCCGCTCGTCAGCAGTCGCCCTGCCGTCACTGCGCCGCCCATGTCGGCGTCGCTGAGCGCCGGCGGGCCGGCTCGCTCGCCATTGTCGGCGACCGGGCCCATGGGTCGCCTGTCGCCGATGCCGTACTCGGCTCCGCTCAACAACCGCCACCGCCGCAACAACTCGTCCAAGTCGTCGGTCACGTCGTTCGAGGACCTGTGGGGCTCGCCCTTCCCGACCACGTTCCGCCAAACGACCACGGGCCGCCTCGAGGGCGTCCGCGACGGTCCGCGGCGCCCGTCGCTGTCGACCTCGGCGGCTCGTCCGCCTCCCGTCCCTCAGCAGCAGCAGCAGTACCCGGTGCGGCCGCCCATGCACCGCGGCGGGCACAAGGCGTCGTCGGCGTCGATCTCGAGCATCGACTCGGCCCGCTCGGGCGGCTCGTCGGGCTCGGTGCGCTCGCTCGCCATGAGCGTGTCGCGCAGCAGCGCCGGCAGCGAGATGTGCCCGACGCCGCCGACGCCCGTCAGCGAGTGGAACGGCGCCGTTGGCGACAAGGTGGCCGGCGAGCGCGTCGTCGCCGGCAAGTTCTGGGTCGAGAACGGCGTCCTGCACGAGAACAACCGCGTGCCGCCGCCACCCTTCTTTGTGCGTCTCGTTCTCTCCTCTCTCTTCACCTGACGTCGGAAGACTGACCCGTCGTCGCGCCGCAACGCAGCCTGTTCCCCCGCCGATGCAGTTTGCCTACTCGCACGACGGCCTGCCCCACACGCCTCGCACGTCTGCGTCCTCGAGTCGCGCGACGCACGCTCGCAAGTCGTCGACCGACCAGGCGTACCCGCCGACCCCTCGCTCGCGCACGGGCTCGGTCGCCTCGGGTCGTCGCGTCCCGCTCCACCCTCAGACCTCGCTTGACGCCATCCTCGCGAGCCCGACGCCGTCGTCGGCCGCCTCGTCGCCTCGCACGGTCGGCGGCACTCGCACGACGTGGACGTTCAAGCTCCTCCACGAGAACGAGAACGTCGTCCTGCGCGTCGCCAAGCCGGTCGACTCGGCGTCGCTCTCGCTCGACCGCTTGCGCCGCGACATCGTCGTCAAGTTCAAGACGAGCGGCGTCGACCTCGCCGCTGCGGCTGAGTGGGGCCTCGCGTGGACGACGCGCGCGCCGGGCGGCGCCGCGAGCGGCACCAAGCTCGTCGTCTCGCAGGACGACCTCGACGAGTGCCTGCGGGCGCACGACGAGGCGACGTCGCCGTCGAGCAAGGTCATCCTCAAGGTCGTCGTTTGCTGAAGCGCAACGTCGGCGACGACTTTCCCTCACGGCCACTCTCGCCCCGAGCCGCGACACCCTCCCTCCCCTCGCCTCCCCTCACAATCCGCATCTGCACCTTCCTTGTCGTGTTCCCCGCCTGCTCGACGACGTGTACCTCGACTTTACGACCGCCGACGACGACCTTCCCGTGCCCCTGGTGTATCGCTCACGACCCTCCCCTCCCTTTGTCCTCCACGACCACTCACGACCCTCGTCCCCTTGTCTCCACGTCTTTGCCCAACTCTTGAGTAGCCGCTATGCCCACACAGTCCCGATCCTCACGAGCGTCGGCGAGAGAGCGGCGAGCGCAGAGAGGGACCGGCTGTGACGGTCGGACCCCCTTTCCGCGTCCCGTTCAGCCCGCCCTCACGGGGCCGCAAGCGCGCTGCCGCAACGATTGACTGCCACGAGAGCGCGTCCGGCTGAGGGCAGAGCGCTCCACAGCAACACAAAGGAGCCCGCCTGCCAGATCCGGGCGCGAGGCCACCGTTCCGGAACTCGACCTCTCTCACGCTCGCTCCGAACAAGGACAGCTCTAGACCGTGCTCCGAAGCTGTCACTCGCGGCTCGGGTGCAGCTCTGAAGCCCGCCCCGCCCCCCTCGGACACGCTCGGGCGATGGGCGCCGGCTGAGCGTGCGTCTCCCGCAACGTGCCCGCCGCACCGCCGGGGCTACTGCTGCGCACCTGCTCGCGCTTGCACCGTCACCGCTAGCCTCAGCTCTCGCCCGAGCACCGCCCGTGCGCGCCCCCAAGAGCGCCGCCGCCTCGTCGCCGTCCTCGCCCCACCCGCCGACCTTCCGCCATGGTGCGCGACCGCCTCGCCGAGATCAGGGTGCGTCTCTCGTTCCTCTGTCAGAAGAGTCTAGGACCGAGCTAACAGAGCTATCCCACAGGCGCGCCAAGCCGGTGGCACCAACGTCGTTCCTCCCGACCCTCCTCGCGGCGGCTGGCAGGCTCGCTACTCGAGCGATCCGGCCCAGGACATGCCGAGCGACTTCAACCCGTTCTCCCCTGCACCTGTCAACGGAGGCGGCGACCGCATGGCGAGCCGGGTGCGCGACCTGCCGCCGTTGCCGCCGCCCAGCGTCCGCAACGACCCGTACGACAGCCCTCGCGACGAGCCGACCGACTTTCACCCCGACTACCCGAGCCCACCGTCGTCGGCGCATCTCGCCATGCCGCGCTCGCTCTCGGCGGGCAGTGTCGCCGAGCGAGGAGCCCACGCGGCGAGGCGCTTCGACGACGAGCCGGTTCCTCCTGTACCCTCTTCCTCGCCACCTCCTCGCGAGGCGGCCTACACTTTCGGCGCCTCGCCGTCCTGGACCGGCTCGGCGTACCTCGGCAGTCCGCCCGAGGCGCCCCTGCCTCGCGACTTTGACCCGCTCGAGAACTCGCCAGCGCACGCTCCCGCCTTCTCGCCCGCCTACTCGCCCACCGCTCGTTCGCCGCCAGCTCAGCAACCGTTGAGCATGAGCCCTCGCGATGCTCCAAGACCGGCAGCCGTCGTCGCGAGTGCGCCGGCGGCTCGTCGCGTGCCACCTGTGCCTGTCGTCGGCACCGTCCCGTACTCGACCGAGCTGCGCGCCGATGCGCCGCCGCCGGACAAGGCGAGCACGATCGACCTCGTGCAGCGCGACGACAGCTCCGGCGACGAGCATCACCGAGGGAGCACGAGCACGACCAAGGGCGCCGGGCCAGCGTACGCGGCGGCGATGTCGCACGAGGAGTTTTACGAGCAGGTGCGCCGCGGTCTTCCTCTCCTCGCGGTCGTTCTTCGCCTCAAGTACTGACCCTCCCCACCGCCCGGCAGATCTCGGACCTGCAAGGAGCGCTGCGGGACGTCAACGGGCGGGTTCAGTTGATCGGCGACCTGCACATGCGCATGCTCGCCATGGCGTCGTCCGAGGACCGTCGCGCCCTCGAGATCAAGGAGCAGCTCGAGGACGCCAAGGCGGCGGCGCGCTCCCAGTTCCAGTCGCTGCGAGACCGCGTCCACTCGCTCGAGCAGGCCAACGTCAACCTGCGCGCGTCGATCCTGCGCGGCCAATCGGCGCACCAGCTGTCGCTCGCCGACACGGACGTGCGCGAGGAGCAGCTGTCGGGCCTCAAGGAGCGCGTCAAGGCGGCCATCCAGCGCTACGGCGAGGTCGAGCGCGACTACCGGCGCAACCAGCGCTCGCGCCTCGAGCGCCAGGTCAAGGTCGTCAACCCGGACATGACGCCGGACGAGGTCACCGAGGCGGTCCAGGTCGCAGAGTCGAGCGGCGAGGGGGCCATGTTCACGCAGGCGGTACGTCTTTCCCCCTTCCCTCCTTTCGTATTGTGAAGGTCGACCGCTCACCCCGGCCTCCCTCTCTCTCTCGCAGCTGCAGAGCAACGGTGCCCGGCTCAACTCGGCGCGAGGCGTGCTGCGCGAGGTGCAGAACCGCGCGGCCGAGCTCGCTCGGATTGAGGCGACCCTCATCGAGCTCGCCGAGCTCTTCCAGGATGTGCGTCCTCGTCCTCGTCCTTCTCGCGTTCCCCTACGTCTTTCTCACGTGCGCGCACCTGCAGATGTCGGTCCTCGTCGAGGCGCAAGACGACGTCATCAAGGAAATTGAGCACAACGCGGTCAAGACCGAGGTGGACATGGAAACGGGCCTCGTCGACGTCAAGCAGGCTGTCGTTCACGCGCGCAACTACCGCAAGTACCGCTGGTGGTGCTTCGGCCTGATCGTCGTCATCCTCGTGCGTCCCTGTCCTCCTTTACGCTCTCGCGGACGGGCTCCTCAAATCGCCGGATACCTCCTGACCCTCTTGCCCTGCCTCTTGCTCTCGCACTACAGGCCATCATCGTCATCGTCGTCTGCGTCGAGGTCATCCCGAAGGCGACCGGCTCGTCCGGCGGCAAGTCGCAGAACAACAGCGCGCCGGCGGCCTCGCCTGTCGTCGTCACGCCCGTCGGCTCGGTCACGCTCCTCGCCGCTCCGACTACCGCAGCGCCGCCTACCTCGACGCCGTCGTTCAGCCTCGTCAGCAGCCTTGCGTCGGCAGCGGGCGCGTCGAGCAGCACGAACGGGACCTCACTCGCGGCGCCGACGGCGTCTGCGGTCGCAGCGTGAGACCGTCGCCGCACGAGCACTGCCCGTCTCGCTCGACCGCGTCGACGAGCGACTTTCCGACGTGCCTCTATGTGCTCGGTCTCGCCAAAGTCTCGCCCCCGCCGCTCTACTCGCCCTAGACGGGCGCGCTCGTTCCTCCTTCCCTCCTTCCCTTGTCGCCGATCCGTTCTCGCAGGCCCCTCCGTACCCGCAGTACCCCCTTCTGTACCTTCTGTAGCTCGCCAGCCTGTATCGAGTGTGTCAGACCGACGCCGTGCGCCGCGAGCTGGGCTTTCGCGAGCGAGAGGTCAAAGCGTCTACGAGCATCTCGCCTCGACGTACGTCGTCGATTCTCGCCGTGAGCTTACGAACCGAAGCGGCTTCAGCTCTGCTGGTTGAGCAAGCTGGCGGGCGTCATTTTGGCCGGTCCCCCGCCAAACTCGGTCGGGCGCGTGGAGGAGGAGAGCGAGCAGGCGCAGGTCGGCCGCGCCCCTCTCCCTCTCCCCTCCACCACCTCGTGCTCGCTTGTTGTCGCTACTACGGTCTCTGCATCCCTCTAGTTCTAGTCCTCTCCTTCCCAGCCCAACGTGCGTCACCGAGCCTCTGTGCCCTCCTCCCTCGCCCCGCCTGCATCGTCATCGCTGATCGAGCTCCTTCTCTTCGTCCTTGCAGCACAACCGCCTCCAGTACACCATGTGCGTGCCTCTCTCTCGACCTCGAGCCCACCCCAGACACTGACCTGCGGCACGCGCGCTCCTACAGGTCGCACCCCTCGGACGGCCCCTTCCCTCGCCCCGTGCCTTCGCTCCCGGACTCGATCCTCGCCCGCTTCAGCATGAAGGGCAAGGTGACCATCGTCACGGGCGGCTCGGGCGGCCTCGGATGGGCCGCCGCAGAGGGCATCGCCGAGGCCGGCGGTGACCTCGCCCTCCAGTACCGCTCGGCCGAGGGCATGGACGAGCGCGCCGCCGACCTCGCCAAGAAGTACGGCACCAAGGTCAAGGCGTACAAGGTCGACGTCGCCGAGTACGACGCCATCAAGAAGCTCGTCGACGACGTCAAGCAGGAGTTTGGCCGCATCGACTGCTTCATCGCCAACGTGCGTCCCCCCCATCTCGCTTCTCTTGTCCAGTCTCGCGTGCACCAGGAGCTCACCAAGCTCGTCTTCTCTCTACGACCACAGGCCGGCATGGGTGGCTCGGGCCGCATCGGCGAGCTCGACCTGGACCAGTGGCGCCGCATCCAGGCCGTCAACTACGACGCCGTCTTCTACGCCATGAAGGTCCTCGCGCCCGTCTTCGAGGCCCAGGGCAACGGCTCGTTCATCGCGACGACCTCGATCTCGGCCCGCATCGTCAACGTCCCCCTCGACCAGGTGCGTCACGCGGCTTGTCCCCTCGAATGCGTCGACCCGCGCCGCTGCGTTCGGGCCCGCATTGTCGATGAAACGGCCGTACTGACGCACACCTTCCTCGCGACCGACAGTCCGCCTACAACGCGTCCAAGGCGGCCGTCGTCCACCTGTGCAAGAGCGTCGCGCGCGACTGGCGCCTCTTTGCGCGCGTCAACACCATCTCGCCCGGCTTCTTCGACACGGCCATGGGCGCCGCGCCCGAGGTCGCCGACACGGTGCACCGCTACTCGGTCCTCGGCCGCCAGGGCGACCCCAAGGAGCTCGCGGGCGCGTTCCTCGTGCGTCCCTCGTCCTCCCTCGCCCGCTCTCCTTCGAGCCCGACTAACCTAGGCCCCCCTCGTTTCCCTATCTCGCAGTACCTCGCCTCGGACGCGTCGACCTACACCACCGTGCGTCCTCTCTCTCCGTCTGCCCGCCTTTGCGCCTTCTCGCGCGACCTCCCTCCCCTGCGACCTGCGCGGTCCGTGCGCGCACTCACTGACGCCCTCCCGCGCACACAGGGCCACGACATGCTCGTCGACGGCGGCTACACCCTGTCCTGAGTGGTTGCATCGCGGCGCACGACGGCGAGGAGCTCGACGAGGAGGATTTGGGGCTCGCAGGAGGCGGCCAGCGCGGGTCAAGACGTAGAGAAACTCTTTCTTGCATCACAACGGCAGTCTGTACAGGGTCACTGGGACTGTCGACTCGCGAGAGGAGCTCGCTTGGAGTAGCGCTCGTAGAAAGCTTAAGCAGAGACGTCGACTCGCTCTTCCCGCATGAGCTCCTCGTCGTCGGGCGCCACTCGAACGCTCGCGACTTGGCTCTCCTCGAGCTGCTTCCGCAAGCCACGCTCGAGTCGCTTTCAAAGGGGCGCACGACCGGTGTATTCGACAGGCTCACTCTCGAGAGAAACGGAAAGCGCGAACAAGCTGCGCTGCACAAGCGTCGTCGACCAAGCTCCAACGCCCGCTTTTCCTCCATCGCCATCGCCTCAGTCTGCCCTCCTCGTCGACCTGCGCCGAGGCCGGTCGCCCTCGACGTCGTCCTCCGCCTTGCGCTTCCTCGAGTCGTCCGCCTCGCCCTCGTCGTCACTCCACTTGGTCCGCCTCGACGACCTGCGCCCGCCGTCCGGGCCGGGCGAGTACGTCTCGCCGCGAGACCGCCGCCCACCGTCGTCGCGGTCGTCGCGCCTCGAGCTGCTGCGCCTCGGCGGCGACTCGTCGCGCGCGCCCGACGCGCTCGCGCCCGCGCCCCGGATCCGCAACCCGGGCGACACGCTGCGCTCGTCGCGCCCCGACCCGCCGCCGCCGCCGCCACCGCTGCGCTTGTCCGGGAAAAAGTCGGACACGCCGCCGCCGCGCTTCTTGTCGCCCGCACCGGCTGCGGCGCCGTCGTGCTCGGCCGCCCGCCGCCTCTCGCGGTCGCGCTCGCGCTCAAACTCGCGGTCGCGTTCGCGCTCGCGCTCGCGGTCCCGGTCGCTGCGGTCGCGCGTCGACGGGGCGCGCTCACGGCTGCGGCTGCGCTCGTACCGGCTGCTGCGCCGCGGCTGCGCGTCGCGGCCGTAGTCGGGCGACTCGCGCCTCGAGCGGCTGCGCGCCGGCGAGCGGTCGGCGGCGGCGTCGTCATGCGCGCCGTGCGACGACGGGGCCGAGCCACCACCTGCGCCGGCGCCGTAGTCGAGCCCGCCGTCGGCTGCACCGCCCGACGAGCCGCCGAACCGGTCGACGTCCTTGTCGCGGTACGAGCGGGCCGCGCTGACCCTCGGGCCGGTCGGCGGTGCGGCGCCCGCACGAGGGCCCGTCGGGATGTGGCCCGGCGGGAGCGCGGCGCGAGGGCCGGTGGGGACCGCGGCAGGGCCACCACCGGCTCCCGCGCCTATGCCCATCGCCATGCCGCCGCGCCCGCGCCCGGCCATGCCCATGGCGCCGCCGCGAGCCATCATGCCCATGCCCGGGACGGCGGGCAAGCCGCGGCCGCCGCGCATGCCGCCCATCATGCCGCCGCGACCGCCTCGAGCGGCGAGCATCGGGTTCATGGGCACGCCTGGGACGCCGCCAAAAGCCGGGTTGCCGGCGTCCTGCGCACAGAAGGAGGGTGTCAGGGCCTGGCTGTTCATGCGGCAACGCGCGAGGCAAGAGAAAGGTGTGACGCACGGGCCCGAACCCTGCGACGTCGCCCGACTGGAGGTCGTCCTGCGCGCCGGACAGGTCGCCGTCGGCGTGCGCAGAAGGAGCGGCGGACTCGGCTGCAGAGGGGCGGAAGAGTCAGGGTCACGCCGCCAAAGGAGAGAGGGGTTGTGAGAAAGAGAGAAAGGTCGACGCACAGTCCTCGCGCTTGACGCCGTTGCTCGCCTCGCCGTCGCCGCCCTGGCCCGCCGCCAGCTGCTGCTGCTGCTGTTGCGCCTGCTGCTGCTGCTGGTACTGCTGCTGCTGCGCGAGCATGTGCTGCTGCTGCTGCTGCTGAGCGTGCATCTGCGCCATGCCGTTCCTCGCGGCCATCTGCTGCGCCGGGCTCATGCCCATCATGCCGCCCATGCCCTGCTGCTGCATCGCCGCCTGCATCGCCGCCTGCATGCCGCTCATCGCGCCGCCCGGCCCGACCGCCCCTGCACCCGCCCCGGCCCCGGCGCCAACGCCGCCGCCCGCCTGCGCCGCCATCATGCCCATCTGGGCCATCTGGGCCATGTGCGCCGGCGGGGGCATCGGGGCTCCCGGCTGGAAGCCCATGATGGTGCCCATGAGGAGCTGCTTGTGCTCGGCCGACAGGTCGGCCCACGCCTGCTGGAGATTGCCCGTCGCGAAGCCCTGAGCGCGTGGCGCGAGTAAGGGGAGGAGGGAAGTAGAGTGCGAGGTGTCAGTTTTGAGGCCGACGAGAGGGTCCGAAAGGCGAGAAGGAAGGAGAGGGACGGAGAAAGCGGGCGAGGGACGCACAGCAAACGGGTTGGCGGCCGCGCTCTCGGACCCTCGCAGCTCGCGCTGCTTGCGCGCATAGTGTTTCCACGTCGCCTCGTTCATGCCATAGTTGAAGTAGTCGGCCATGTTTGCGCCCGGGCGACGCCACGGCTTGTCGTCGAGCTGGTCGAGGTCGACGTCAAACAGGTCGCGCCCGGTGCTGTCCTTGTGCACGGCGTCGACGTCGAACGTCGGCTTGGACGACGGCTTGAGCTCGACGACGAGGGGCGTGAGCGAGCCGCGCGGGACCAGCTCGGTGACGCCGCTGCCGCCGCCGCCGCCGCCTGGCGCGAGCTTGAGCGGGTCGGCGCCTGCGCCCGGGGTGACGGGCAGGTCCGGGTTGGGCGTGCCCTCGAGGGCCTGAGCGGCGAGGACGGCGGTAGAGGCTGGGTCGGTCGCGGTCGGGTCTGGGCGGGCGAGCGAGGGAGGGCCGACCGACGTCGAGGCTGCGGTGGTCGTCGGGGGCTTTGCGACGCCCGGGCGGTCGAGCGGGGCGTACTCGGTCGTGGCGGACGGCGCCGGGGCAATGTTGGCTGCAAAGATCGCCGGCGAGGGTCAGGATGGGCGCGGATCAACAGAGGAAAGAGCGAGGTGGACGCACGCTTCTGCGGCGAGAGGGCGGCGGGACGAGGTGGAAGAGGTCGGCGAGCTCTGCGGGCGGCCGAGGCGGGTCAGTCTCGGCTGCAGGGAATCGAACACGCTCAGGAGGCGCAGGCTCGGACGCACTGAGGAGGAGGAGCGGCACCGTCGCCGTCGAGGATGATCTCGAGGTCCTGAGAGGATGCGAGAGGTCAGCTCTCGGGGTGTGTAGGGAGGGCAAGAGCGTGGGACGCACGTCGTCGCTGTCTTCGTCGTCCTCATCGCCGTCGTCGCCGTCCTCGCCGTCGTCTTGGTCGACCGGGTCGGCGTCGGCGGGCGCGTCGCTGTGTGGGTGAGCCGAGGTCAGCAGAGGTCGCCGTGAGGTCGACTGGACGAGGGTCGGGCATACGTTGCTTGCGCATCTAGTAGAGGGCAAGGCGAGTCAGTAGCGGTCGATGGGAGCCGAGATGGGCGGCGAGAGATGGGGCTGGGGACGAGGTGCTCACCGGTTGCAGAGGGAGCTGCGGCGGGCGCGTCGCCGTACAGGAACGCCTCGTCCTCGTCGATGTCCATGTTGGTGCTGGTGCTCGTCAGGCAGCAAAGGGCCGAGAGCCGAGTGAGGGAGAGCGACGAGCTGCCTGCAGCTCGAGGACGAGTGACAGCTCTCGTCCAGTCACACTCACCCGCTGAGCTGAGCGACAACGACCGCCATGACGAGGCCACCACAGCAACCCGACTTCTCACCCGCCGACTCGCCCTCGTTCCGCGCCTCGTTCGAGCAATGGCGCCGCTCCCTCACCGCCCTCGCCTCGCCCCCACCACCGCTCCGCTGCGACCCCGAGTACAACCAGCCCGCCCAGTGGTCCGATGGCCCCGTCATGCACGGCGACACCGACGCCGCCACTCCGCCGACAGACCCGAAGCGCGAGGCCGCAGACTGCCGCCGCTGCGAGAAGTGGAGGGACGAGTTGTCGAGGGACAGTGCGTCCGCTCTCGCCTTGCGTGCCACTTGGGCTCGACAGGAACGCTCAGGTCGTCCCTGTCGAGATCTACGCCGCTTTTGGAGAGCACAGACTGACACCTCGGACTCCCTCGCAGGTCCGATCGTCCGCTTCCTCCTCACCCACATCTCGCTCCTCCCTCCCTCGCGCAACTCGACCATGCCCGCGCCCTCGTCCTCCCCAACCCCTCACCTGCCCCTCCCAATCACGTGCGCCCCCTGCCCGCCAACCATGGCCGGCGGGTTCTCGCCCGAACTCGGCATCCTCCTGTGCCAGAACCGGTTCATGAGCCGCAAGCACGTCGAGGACGCGCTCGCGCACGAACTCGTTCACGCGTGGGACGAGCGCAGGTTCGAGCCGAGGGGCAAGTGGGGCGATGACCTGCGCGCGCACGCTTGCACAGAGGTGCGCTCCCTCCCTCTCTCTTCCTCTCCCTCCTTCCCTCCTCCTCGTCTCCTACCCCGACCCTCTCTCTGACCCCCTTTCGCACCCACACAGATCCGCGCCGAGACCCTCTCGGGCGACTGCCGCTTCGGGCGCGAGTTCACGCGCCGCAACTGGCACTTTGCCAAGCAGCACCAGGCGTGCGTCCGGCGCCGCGCCACCCTCTCGGTCGCGGCCAACCCCAACTGCAAGAGCCCCGAAGAGGCACAGCGCGTCGTCAACGAGGTGTTCGAGTCGTGTTGGCCCGACACGAGGCCGTTTGACGAGGTGCGTTCAGCTCGGCCTCGCCTTCTCTCTCTCGAGTTTTCCTCACCTCGTCAGGCCTCGACTGACTCGGTCTTGCCCCGTGCAGATCTATTGAGCGCACCTCTCCCTCTCGACACTGTTGTACCCGACGCCTGTAACCCTGCCGCATCTCGCACTTGTCCTTCTTGCGCCCCGAGAAGGCCCGACGCTCGAACCCCTGTCGAGCCTCGCTGCCGGAAGCTCGCCCCTCTCTTTTCGTCCAGTCTCGAGAGCAAGACCGACAGAAAGCGCGAGAGATGTGACAACAAGGCTCGACAATGCACGCCAGCGAAACGTAACCCCCCCTCGCGCACCCGCTCGGACCCGCCCTCTCTCGACCCCGCCCGCCTCACTCGTCGCGCTTGCGCTTCTTCTTGTCCTTCTTGGCCGCCGCCGCGTCGCCAATGCTGCCGACGACGGCCCGTGCGGGGCCCTCTTCCGGCGCGACAAACGCCTTTGCGCGCTCGTCTTTCCGCCCGGCGACGACGGCGGCTTGCTGTCGGGGGTGCGACCGGGTGAGGTCAGTGCCCGGGACGTCGAAAGCAGGCGAGGAGGAGGAGGAGGAGGAGGGAGGTAGGGCCGCACCTTGGCGGCGCGCTTGGCCTCGTCGCGCTGCTGCTTCTCGCGCGGCTTGAGGAAGTACTCGCCCGACTCGAGCTGGAGGTCGATCTGTGAGGCGCGAGGGAGGGAGGTCAGTACACCGCGCCGCTGCAGTCGGCCCCCCGAGAAAGAGAGAGAGTATGACGCACCTTGCTCGGCATCTGCGCCGGCGGGAACGGAGTGTACGGCTTCTTCTCCTTCTTCTGCTTCTTGGCCGCCGGCGGCTGGCCCTCTGCGCCGTCGACCGCGATCGCGTTGGCGCCCGACGGCGCGGCGCCACCCTCGCCACCGGCACCGGGCCCGCGCTTCTTGTCGCGGCGCCGGCGGAACTTGGGCAGGAACCGGTCCCAGTTCTCCTCGGCGAGCTTGGGGTCCTTGGCGAGCTCGCGCTTGATCATGAGCTCCTGTGGGCAGGCGGTACCGTCAGTGTGCGCCCACGAGGTGCGTGCGAGCGAGAGAGGGGGGGGGCGCACCTTGATGTGGTAGATCGGGTGGACGTTCTTCATGCAGTCGACGACGATCTTGCGCACCTCCTTCAGGCCCTTGTGCCCGCCCATCGCCGCCACCGTGTTGCCCTGCACGAGGACGTAGCACTGCGTGAGGAGCTCGATGGCCTGAGTGGGATGGTCAGCAAAGGGGCAGGACGAAGAGGGGGGAGAGAGCGAGGGGCGCACCTTGAGCGTCGAGCCGCCCGGGCCGAGGATGCGCTGTCGCCGCTTGACGAAGCGCTCGTTGTTGCGGATGATGTTGCCAATCTTGATGATGTCGCAGTCCATGCCGTCTTCGAGGATGCGGACCGCCTGCGCGAACGAGGGGAGGGGTCAGCGAGCGTTCCTTGAGGAGGGAGGGCTCGGAACGCACCTGCGGGAAGGGCACGCTTCGTGCGAGCAGCTTGATGAGGTCGCGCGCCTTGAGGATGATGTACGGGTCGAACGTCTTGCGCGTCGTCTTGACCGTCATCGAGCCCTCGACGAGGTCGAGGACGGCCTCGATGCCCTGCGTGTCCGCCGCGCCGCTCGTCAGCTCGCCCGCTCGCCGTCCAGCGAGAAGGAGGAACGGGACGCACATGCTTCTTGAGCGCCGTCTCGACGTGGCCCCAGATCTCGCGCAGGTACGTCTCGCGGTACTTGGCGAAGAGCTGCGTCGGGTCGAGGGTTAGCTCGCGCTCGGGTCCGCCGCCCAGCAGAGACGAAGAAGAGAGAGCTGTGGCGCACCGTCGCAAAGCTGCTCTCCTCGAGGAGCACGCCCTTCATGTCGCCCTCCTGGAACGGCTCGATGGACCAGTGGTCGGTGCCGTCGACGTCCCACCTGCGGGCCGCACAGCGAGGTCAGTCGGGGCGCGAGTCAGGCTGAGAGAGGCATGGACGCACGGCTTGTCCTTGCGGTTCATCTGCTTCTTGCTCTTGCCGGCGCGCTCCTCCTCGAGGCGGGCCGCCTCGTCCGGGTTCTCCTGCTCGAGCTTCTGGCGCGCCTCCTCGGCGGCCTTCTTCTGTGCGGCGTTCTTGCGAGCCATCGTGCTCAGGCGGGCAGCAGGTGCGGGGGGTGAGAGCGTGGCAAGCGGTTGGAGGAGTCTCTCTCGACCGTGCTCGCGACGGCGTCGGAAACTGATGAGACGGCGCACGTCGAGTCGCTCGAGAGAGGGCACAGGATGCATAGCAAAAGACAAGGGCACAATGTGATAGGACTACTTAGAGCGCGCGCTCACCCAGATCCGAGCCTCCCAGCTCACCGACGACCGCCGCGGGCCGCCGCCTTCGCCACCTTCTTCGCGACGACAGCCTCGGCCGCCTGCCTCGCCGCCTCCTCCTTCGGGTGCTCGCGGAAGTACGCGACGCACTCGGAGCAGCGAACCCAGTAGATCTGGCGCTGCGGGCCGAAGCCGCGAAGGAGGAGCTCCGGGAGCGCCTCGCCGACCTCGTCGAAGCCGTCGTCGAGGCAGTCCTCGCAGTGCGCCTTCGGGCACGTCTGCGCGTGAGGGACGAGCGAGTCAGTACGCTGACGACGAGGTGTGGGGCGTCGAGGGGGCAAGATGGGCGCACCTGGCAGCGGAAGAGGAGGCCGCCGGCGGCCGCCGTCGAGCGACCGCAGCCCGAGCACTTGTGCTGAGGGCAATGGAACATCCTGCAGGACGAGTCGAGTGTGAGCCTTTGTCCGGGAGAGTATGGAGGAGGAAACAGGGCTGAGAGAGAGAGAGAGGGCGACGCACGGAAGGCTAGCGAGGGCCTTGGTGGTCGAGCCGACGCAGTCGGCGTGCCAGACTCGCGGGCAGCCGCTGCACAGGTACAGGTTGCCGCCGTCCTTGCACGCGTGGCAGTAGTCCTCGTGCTCGAACTTGCGCGTCGTGCGCTTGGTGTTGGCGAGCTTGGCCGTCGCCTTGGCCGACGACGTGATGGTCGGGACCGCCTCCCACGCCTTGGTCGACTGCAGCGGGGGCAAAGGGCGGTGAGTGCGACGCTCATCTTGACAGAGGAGAACGCGAGGACGCACAACCGAGTGCGTGGCGACGGCGTGACCGTCGATCATCACGACGCGAGCCTTCGACTGGCGCTTGACGAGCGCCTCCAACTCTGCGCACGGGACCGGCTCAAGGTCAGTCATCGACGGCGAGCGCAAGTGTGTCGCGATTGAGAGAATCAGAGAGGACGGACCCTGGCGGATGTCGGTGTTGGTCGCCGTGTACGTCTTGCCCTCCCACTTGCGCGACGAGATGAGCTCGCGCCCTGCGAGAAGCCGGCGCTCCTCCTCCTCCTCCTCGCGCGCGAGACGCTCGCGCTCCTCGACACTGATCGCCTCGCCGAGCTCGGCCTTGACGCCGAGGTCCTTGGCCATGTCGCGCTCGCGGCCGCGCTGGCACAGGTCGGCGAAGGACGCCTTGCGGAAGGCCGTGAACGCGTCGTTGCCGTTCTTGTCGTGCGACTCGTCGGCGGCGGCGCCCGCGCCGGCACGAAGCATCGAGATGAGCTCTGCGAGGGAGGACGACGACGGCGGCGTCAGGACCGGGTCGACGAGGGTCGAGGTTGAGCGAGAGGGGGCTCACCTCCACGAGTCAGGCGAGGCGCGTCGTCCTCGTTCTTGTTGGTCGCGTCGACCATGTCCTCTTCGTCGTCGAAGCGCTCGGTCGCGTTGCGCATGCCGCCCATGATCTTGAGCGACAGGTACAGCTTCTTGCGCAACCTCGACATGGCCTGCTCCTCGACCGAGCCCGCCGTGACGAGGCGGTACACGTGGACCGTCTTGGTCTGGCCGATGCGGTGCGCGCGCGCGATGGCCTGCAGGTCGACCTGCGGGTTGAAGTCGCTCTCGAACATGACGACGGTCGACGCGGCCGTCAGGTTGACGCCGAGGCCGCCGGCGCGGGTCGAGATGAGGAAGACCTGGAGCGCCGAGCTCTCGCGCTGGAAGAGGCGGATGTCGAGGGCGCGACGAGGGCGCGACGTTTGGCCGTCGAGGCGTGCGTCTGCGGGAGGGGCTCCGAGTCAGCTCTTTCTCCCGACCCTCGCTTTGACTTAAGAGGTAGACAGGGACGCACACTTGTAGGACCTGAGGTCCATGTAGTCCTCGAGGATGTCGAGCATGCGGGTGAACCCGCTGAAGATGAGGACGCGCTCGCCCTTGGGCAACGCGTCGCCGAGGATCTTGTCGAGCGCGACGAGCTTCGACGACGCGGCGACGACGTGCTCGTCGACCGTGAGCTCGCCCTCGGGCTCCGAGTCGGGCAACAGGTACGGGTGCGAGCAGCTGCGGGTCGTGACGAGGGCAATGTCAGTTTCGGTCGAGGAGGGGGAAAGAAAGGTCCGGCGAGACGGGGACGGACCACTTGCGGAGCTGCATCATGAGCATCATGAGCTTCTTGTAGGCGCCGGCGTCTCCTCCTTTCTTCTTCTCCTCCTCGACGACCTTGCGCATCTGCGCGAGCGCCTGCTTGTCGCCGTCGACGACGCTCGCGCCGCTCTTGCGCCGAGCGATCGACTTCTCGAGGTTCGTGACGCGCGCGAGGGCGTTGTTGCGCCCCTGGGTGCTCGTCGCGGCGGCCACCTCCTGCTTGGCGAGGTCGAGCGCCGCCTCGTCAAACGCGGCCGAGTCGCCGAACAGCTCGCTCAGGGTGCCGAGGTCCGAGCGCGTGAGGAGCCGTTGGTACCAGAAGCGCTGGATGGGCGAGAGAGGGAGGTACACTGTGGGCGGGAGCGGGAAGTCAGATCTGGCTCGCGAGGAGGAGAGGGGAGGGTAGGTGGACGCACGGGTGAATTCCTCCCTCGGTGGCACGCTCAGCTCGCTCGAGACGCCCTCCTTGGTGCGCCGGAGCATGACGACGTCGCCGAGGAGCTTCTGCGACTTCTCGAGGAACGTCGAGTCGTACAGGCCCGCCGACAGGTTGAACGCGTCGCGGAACAGACCGAGCGTCTTGTCGGTGAAGACGGCCGGGTACAACCAGTGCAGGAGGGACCACAGCTCGACGAGCGAGTTCTGGAGGGGCGTGCCGGTGAGGATGAGGCGCATGCGGGACCGGATCGACCGTAGCGCGTGGGCCGCCTGCGACTCGTGGTTCTTGATGCGGTGGCCCTCGTCGAGCACGACGAGCCCGTACAGGCCTTGGGTCTTGAACCAGTGCGCCTCGGAGACAAACTGCTCGTACGTCGTGACGACGAGGTCGGGCTGCAGCTCGGGGTACATCGACTTGAGGCGCTGGCGCTCGCCCGCCTCGCCGTGGAAGCGCATCGCGGTCTGTCGGCGCGTGGATGGGTGTCAGTCTGCGCTCCTTTGCCACGGCGAGCGAGAGGGGGAACGGGACGCACAAAGTCGGGGAGCCAGCGCTCGATCTCGGATGCCCACGAGCCGAGGACCGAGAGCGGACAGACGATGAGGTGCGGGCCCTTGCGGCCGTGCTGCTCGGCGAGGCAGGCGATGAGGGCGAGCGTCTGGAGCGTCTTGCCAAGGCCCATCTCGTCGGCGAGGATGCAGGAGCCGCCGTTCTCGGCGACGTAGGCGAGCCACGAGAGGCCCTTGAGCTGGTAGTCCTTGAGGACAGGCTGCCCGCCGGCGACGCTCGACGGCTGCGGGATCGACCGGTAGGGCCGCACAACCTTGTGCGGGACCGCCGTGCTGGTCGACTCGAGGAGCTTCGACACGTAGTTGGGCGAAGAGGACGGGAGGACGTTCAGGAAAGTCGTGGCGTTGGCGAGGCTGCGGGTCACGCGAGGCCTTGTCAGTATCCGTCTGTGTGCGGAGAGAGAGACTGACAGGGACGCACATGAGGGCGTTGCGCCTGCGCTCGAGCTCGTCGGGATCGGTAAACCACCACTCGTCGCCGACCTTCTCGCCGCCGTGCGCCTCGCGCGAGAGCTTGGCCTTGCCCTTGCCCTTGTCCTTGTTCTTGCTCTTGACCTTGCTCTGCTGCGGCCCGTCGGCCCTGGGCGCCGAGGGAACCGGGAGGGCGAGGACGAAGGCCGGAGTGTGGCTGTGTCGCGTCTTGGGGCGCTTGCCGCGCCCGAGCTGGTCCTGCTGCGAGGGACCGGCGGTGCTCGAGCTTGCTTCGAACGGCGTGGCGGTGCCCGACTCGGGCCCGGGGCTGGCTGTCGGGGTCGGGCGGTTCGAGTTGAGCGAGAGGTCGGCGGCGTGGGCGAGGAGCGAGCCCGTCGAGTCGGTGCGCTCGAGGGCGAACCGCCGTTTGAGCGGCGGTGGCGGCGCGGCCATGGTGGTAGCGAGCGCTGCGCAAGCGATGCGAGGAAAAGACGAAAGCGAACCCGGCGCGATGGTGTCGGCGGTGCGTCTCGCCTTTTCTTCGGTCCGCTCGCACGGCAGTCTCGCTAACTAGACGACGAGGGGGACGAACAGGCACTCGATTTACAACAACAATGGGCGCGCTACAAAGACGGCGAAAGGGGGACATCTGCGGAGCGGACCGAGCGAGGTGAGCGCGCGCTCGCCGCCGGCTGCAGGCGTCGAAGAAAGAAAGAGAGGACGCACCTGCTAGAGCCGCTTCATCTGCTTCTGCGCGTCCTTCATCTTGCCCTTGACGCGGTCGGTCCCGGCGTCGAGCTGGTCGAGGACGTCCTCCTGCAGCGCGAGCTCGGCGTTGATCATCTCGCCGAGGTGCCGTTGCCGCCGCAGCGCCGCCGTGAGCGCCTCGAGCTTCGAGTCCTGGTCGTCCATGTACTGCTGTTGGAGCTGGAGGACGCCGCCGTTGTCGAGCGCGCGCGTCTCGGGCGTCTCGAGGGATGCGGCGGCTGCGGCGCCGAGCACGCGTGCGGGTGCGCGCCCGGCGCCGCTCAGCAGGGCTTGCCGTGCAGCCGTCGGCGGCTCATCGTCGCCTGCTCGAGAGGACGGGCCCGTGCGCCCTGCGCCGGCTCGCGGCCCGCGACCAGCCTTGCGGCCGAGCTCCTCGACCTCGCCCTGGAGCCGCTCGACGAGGGCGCTGCGGCGGTGCAGCTCTCCCTCGGTCATGCCGTCCTTGGCGAGGACCTGGAGGCCGTTGGCGAGGTCGCCGATGCGCCGTACGAGGTCGACGAGCGCCGTCTTGGCCTCCTTGGCCGTCGCGTGCGCCGTCGACGAGCTCGCGAGCAGCTGCGCGTCGCGGCGGTCGAGCGTCGTGCGCAGTTGACGGGCCGCGCCCTCGACGGCGGCGTGCTCGGCCGTCCACGCCGTTGCGGTCCAGCTGCGACTGACCGCGCCCTCGCCGCCTGGTGCCGCCTGCCCGCCGCCGCCGGCCCCGTCTGGCGGCGCCGCGAGAAAGTCCTTGAACGTGCGGCTGCTGCGCCACCGCGGGTCTCGGTCGGCGAGGATGGCCCTCAGCCAGTGCTCGAGTCCCGCGCGGCGCTCCTCGAGCTGGGCGTCCGACAGGTCGCGAGCGGCGGCGAGTGGGGCGAGGAACCAGCTGCCCGGGTGCTTGGGCGGGAGCTCGGCGGGCGGCGGTGCGCCGCACGTCGCGGCGAGCTTGTGGTATAGGGCGGCGAACGCAGAGTAGCGCTGCTGGATCGAGTAGGTCCGTGTGGGGAGCGAGATCGAGACGGTGAAGGCGACGTGCGGGTCGGGCTTTGCGGCGAGCTTGGTGAAGGACGGGACCGAGACCGACTGGATCGGGTCGCTCGTCGCAGACCTGGCTGCGAGCGACATGGCGACAGAGTGCGAGGGCGGTGGCAGATTCAGAGGAGAGAGGCGGCGCGCGGGCGACGTCTGACGCAACAGCTCTCGCTCTCTCGCACAGACAGAGATGCTCGAAAGGGTGGTGCACAGCACTACAGACACGCGCAAAGATATGGAGGACAAGAACTAAGGACAGTTGAGGGGTGGACAAGCATGCGCGAGAGGGAGGCAGGGAGGGTCGACTCGTGCCGAGCGCGCTCAGGGTCCGGGACCTGGTGGAGGAGGCGGTGGCGGCGCGCCGCTGCCCGGCACGCCTGGTACCGACCCAGCCTCCTCGGCGGCGGCGGCGGACACGATGCCGTACGCGAGCGCGCCCCACGCCGTCTGCGCGAACGGGTTCGGCGGCATGCCCTGCTGCGGCATGGCCGGCGGCAGCATGTACTTGTGCGCCGTCGCCGGGTGCTGCTGATGCGGCGCGAGGTGGTGGTGCATGGGCGGGATGGGGCCGTACAGGTTGGGCGCGAGCGGGTGCGGCGGCCACATGGGCGGCTGGGGCATGAAGTGCATGGCGGCCGGGTCGCCCGGGTTCATCGGCATGCCTGGTGGCGGGAAGGGTGGGTGGAAGGCGTGAGGGAGGTGAGGTGGAGGAGGCGGTATCGGTGCGTGCGCCTCGTTGGACGACACGGGCGTGATCTCGGTCGAGGTCGCCGGCGTCGGGAGCTGGGCGTTGCTGACGACGACGGGTGGTGCGGCGACGAGGCCCGACGGGGAAGTCGACCCCGACGCCTCGTCGTTCTGGCCGGCCGCTGCGGCAGCGGCGAGGTTGGCCTTGGCGGCGGCGGCGGCTTGTCGTTTTTGGGCGAGCGAGGCGGGCCGGTTGACCTTGTGGAGCTTGTCTGCACGTCCACGATTCGACGACGACGTCGTCAGAGAGTGTCGCAGGAAGAACAGGAGGAGAGGGAGAGAGGGACGCACAGTAGAGCGAGCACGCGTTGCAGCACAGTCGGCCCTCGGGGTCCTTGCGCCACATGGGCGTGCTCGTCGCGCCGCAGTTGTTGCAGCTGGGCGGCACGCCGCTCGCCGCTGCTTGTGCCGCCGCGCCGTTCGACGTGCGCTTCGACGCGTTCGACTTGCCGAACGTCTTGGGCCGCGGCTTCGAGTGCAGCTTGAGGTACAGGCCGCACCTGCAGGACGGGCTCCGAGAGTCAGTCGACGGCGACGACGGCACGAACGAAAGAAAGAGAGCGAGAGCGGGACGCACGCGTTGCACAGGAGCTCGTCGTGAGGTCCTCGTCGCCACAGCGGCGTCGTGATGCTGCCGCAGTGCGAGCAGACGGGACCCTCGTGGCCCTCGCCCGCCTCCTCCTTGACGGCGCGCCGCTGCCCGTTGCCCGGCAGCTGCGTCGAGTGCGGGTTGCGGTTCTTCTTGCTGCCGTTGGCCGCGAGCTTGGACGAGCCCGCGTCGGCGCCGTCCGGCTCGGGGCTGTTGGCGCGCGAGCCCTTGGTCTTCTTGCCGCCGCCGCCGCCGCCCTTGGCCTTGCGCTTGCCCTTGGCCGCCGCGCTCGGGTACGCCGCCGCGCCGCCGTCGGCGTGGAGCTGTGCCGCACGCTCGACCTCCCTCGCCGCCTGCTCGGCGAGCGACAAGTGCGCGTCCGGGTCGGCCGACCCGTCGCCGCCCGCCGCCGCGCCCGTCGCGCCGCCAATGTCGAAGCGGGACGCGTCGCGGTCGACCGCCTCGAGGCTGTTGGCGCGGCTGCGCATCTGGGCGAGGCTCATGCCCTCGAACGGGTCCCGGCCCTCGCTGCCCGACACGGGCGGGATGGCCGCGTCGCCCGGGCTCGTCTCGGAGCGGCCCTCGAGGTCGCGCCAGACGTGGTCCATGCCGTCGGCGGCGGTCGTGGGCGTCACGCCGGCCGACGACGACGAGTGAAACTCGCCCGTCGTCGGGCCCAGCTCGAGCTCGAGCTCGCCGAGGATGCTCGGCTCGGGCGACGGCGTGAGGAACCGCGGGTACGGCGCGATGACGGGCTGGTACATGCCGTACGACGAGAAGAAGGCGGGAGGTGCGGCGGTCGGCGGGGCCGAGGACAATGCCGACGGGAGGTCCGAGAAGACGGTCGCGGTTGGCGGGAGGGCGAAGCTGGGCGAGGGAAGGGTGGGTGGTGCTGCTGAGGTGGGAGGCATGCCGAAGGGGAAGACGCCGTGCGAGACGTTTGCCGACGAGGTCGACGCGGCGAACGGGTCGCTCGGGCCCGAGCCGGGGAACGGGTAGCCCGGGAAACCGAATGCGTTGAGCGCCGCCATGGGCTGCGGGTGCTGCAGCGTCGGCAGCTGCTGATGCTGCGCGGTCGCCGACGACGGCGCCGCGAGAGGCGCGCCCGCCTGCTGCTGCCCTTGCGCGCCGTGCTGCTGCTCGACGGCCTGCTGCGGCGCCGACTGGGCGGGCGGCTGCGCCTGCGCCGCACGCGGCGAGTCCGAGATGAGCGCCGTCCAGGCCGGAGTGGCGATGATGCGGCTCTGGTTGGGCTGCGACACCGAGGGCAGCGGCGAGTAGCCCCACTCGGGCGACGGGTTGAACGCGAGTCGTTGCGGCTGAGGCGCGCTCACAAGAGGTGGGGTCGGAGCGGGTTGGCCGAGACGAGGGGAAGGTTGCGAGAGGCTGGTCGGGAGCGCCGACTGGGTGAGGGCGGCGAAGGTCGGAGGCTGAGGAGGTACGGGGACGTGAGTCGACGGCTGCGGAGGGGAGGGGAACGCGACCATCGTCAGGCGGGCCCTTAACGTGAAAGGACACGGTCTCGAGAGAGAGTGTGCGCACCTGTGCGGCTTGAAGGGTCGTGCGCAAGAAGGCCTCGAGGTCTTCAGTCGCGCGCCGGCGCTCGTGCGCCTCGACGCTCGCGTGCAGGCCGTACAGGTCGTCGCGCACGGCCGACTGGACGGGTCCGTGACGCTGCTCCATGTGCCAACGACGCCAGTACAGGTTCTCGATGCGCGACTCCTGCGGTAGCCGGTGGGAGGACGGGGCATCGGAAGCGCGAGTTGCGGGGAAAGGGGGGCGAGGAGAAGGTCAGCTCGCGCGTCGGGGTCCACTCGCGAGAGTCGAGGGGACGAAGCGGACGCACCTGGTCGAGGAGCTTTCTCGCTCTGCCGTTCCACGCGTTCCAGGTCTGCTTGAGGCGCGGGAGCTCGTCGTCGCCGGGAGCGCGATCGAACGGTGTCGGCTGCGCGTGGGTCGAGGACGGCGGGAGGCGCGGGTCGGCGAGGTACGGGGAAAGGGACGAGGGACGTGCGAGGTCAGGACGGTGCTCTGCTCGTCGCGCCGGGCTGCCCGTGGCGAGGTCGGACGCCTCGGGGCTCGAAACCCCGCAAGCGCCACTCGAGCGCGACGCGGCGCTGCCGAGGGTGTGTGGGTGTGCGCAGGGTGGGCGTGAGGGTGCGAGGACGCTGGAGGGGAGGGTAGGCGGCGGGCGGCGGGCGTAGACCGCAAAGCCGAGCCGAAAGTCCGGCGAGGCGGTGCCAGGAGCAGAGCCAAGGGGCGGCGAGGAAAGAGGGGGAGGGCGACAGAGAAACCGGGCCGACTCACGTCGAGCCGAACGACGAATGGTCTCATTCGCGTGCACCGAGCCGTCGTGCTGCGCTCCTCGGTCGAATCTGGCGGGCTCGTGGGCGAGAGGACGAGGCGAGGGCGGTCGTTTGAGTCGGGCTCGCTGGAGGGAGCGGTCGAGGCGGCGACTTGGGCGAGGCGCGCTCGCGTGGCGGCGGCGTAGTCGAGCGTGGAGAGGTCGGAGCTGGACGCTGCTAGGCTCAGCAGCCCATGTCGAGGCGAGACGAGGTGGTCGTGGTCGAGGTCGAGCGGACGAAGGAGGTCGACTCGGCGAGGGGGACGGCGGGCGGGCTCGGCAGGCGAAGGCCGGTTGTGTGGGCCCAGGTGACGACTCGTCGAACGCGTTGGCGAGAAGTGCGTGAAGCGGTGGAGAGGCCGTCACGACGTCGAGCGGACGACGAGCGCTCTCCGCCCGCTCGCGCCGTCCGGCGTCGTTGACTTCTCGCACTGCGGCTTTCCCGGTGCGCGAATTCTCCTTTCAGTGCACGACTCTCTCTTGCTCGGCTCGGCGAGAGGCCCGCTTGATCGAGAGCGCTCCGCAGAAACCGGCGGACCGCCTTCTCAACTGGCCGCACATCCGACGACTGGCCTCTCGCACAGCAGTCACTCTCGCAACGCGCTCGCCTCGTGGTACTGATCGGGCGAGGGCGAGGGAGGAAGGAGGATGAATCGTGCGTATGATACAGGAAAAGGAAAGGATGCGGGTTGCGATGAGGAGCTGAGGACGAAGCATCGGGCCTCGAGCCGCCGATGCAGGTCAAGACGTCTATTCGTAGGGATCTGCAGCACGAGGAGGTTGTCAGGAGAATCGGGCGGGACAACCGCGAGGAGGCGAGGAAAGAAAGAGAGCAAGGAGAGGTCGGGGACGCACAGTAGCCGCGCATGTCCGTCTCGCGCCACATCTCGGCGAGCATGATCTCGGTCGCCATGTACGCCGCCGGCAGCGGGTACCGCGTGTCGCCCGTCACGTGCCCGGGCAAGTTGTGCGCCTTGTCCGCCTCGACAAAGAGCCCGCCGAGCGTTGTCCGCCAGTCGTACCCGTCCTCGACCATCTTGCGCCCGTTGCGCGCCAGCCTCGCGCGCAGCGCCGGGTCGAGCATGAGCTTCTCGATCGCGTCGGCGTACTGGACCGCGTCGTCGACCGGGTCGTCTTCGAGCTCGTGCTCGATCAGGATCCCGGCGAGCTCGTTCGGGTCGTGCACCTTGCGGCCGGCGCTGTCGAGCTCGCCGAGCTGCTCGGGGAGTGCACCGGCGCGCGCCGTCACGATGGGCAGGCCCGACGCCATGGCCTCGCCGACCGCGATCGAGATGCCCTCGCCCATGGTCGGCAGGAGGAACAGGTCGGCCGCCGCGTAGTAGTCGCCGAGGTCGCTCTGCGTGCCGACGAGCCGCACAAAGTCGCTGAGTGACGCGAGCTGGACGAGCTTCTCGAGCTGGGTGCGCAGGCCGCCCTCACCGACCATGACGACGAGAAAGTCGTCCTCGGTGCGGCGGATGAGCTCCTCGACGATGGGCGGGATGAGGAGCGTGCGCTTCTGCGGGTCGAGGCGCCCAACGACGACGATGACGAACGTCTCTGGCTCCACGCCGAGGAGCGACGCCTTGGCCGCGTTGCGCTCGGCGGCCGTCGCCGGCTTGAACTGCGACGCCTCGATGCCGAGCTTGACGATGCCGATCCGGCTCGCGTCCAGGTGCCCGTTGTCGACGAGCCAGTCGCGCAAGTAGTGCGAGCACGTGATGGTGCGGGCGAGGTACCGCTGCATGATGATCGACAGGCGCGGGTACCCGCCGGCCTTCCAGCCGTTGTACGCCTCGTTGTGCAGGTACTGTGGGCGTCGTTCGAGTCAGTGCGCGTTCGAGCCATTCAATAAGATCTCGAGTGAGAGTTCGACGCACGTCGATCCACTCGACGTCGGGCAGGTGCTCGGCGAGCGCCGGCAGCATCTCGTACGCGAGCTGGCTGTTGCTCATGATGACCTGGCGGATGCCACGCGACTCGACGAGGTGCTTGAGGTACCGCGGGAAGTCGTGCGGGCGAAGGAAAGTCGGGAGGACGTGGATGTCGTGCGTGTACTGAAGCGCGAACGGGCGCAGCTCGACGCCCTCGGGGAACTTGCTCAGGGTGCAGACGACCGTGACGCGGTAGCCGGCGAGCGCGTACAGCTGGATCATGTGCAGGGCACCTGTAGCGATGAAAGGGATGGGCAGGGAAAGAGGGAGGGAGGAAGGGAGAGAAGAGGGTCAGCTTGGTCGAGGAGGGTCCGGGCGCGAGGGGCTGCGACGGCGTCGAGGGCAACAAGGGAGCGTGGACGCACCAATGTCGGCGCCGCCGACGTACAGCCACGGGAGGATGAACATGATCTGCTTGTCGGTGTGCGCGAGCGCGTGCTCGAACGGCGGGTCCCACATGATGGGCGCGAGCTGGACGCCGTGCTTGGGCTTCTTGACCGGGAACGCCTTGTCGAGGGTCGGGTGCTTGCGCATGATGTGCTCCTTGAGCTGCTCAAAGCCGTCGACAAACGTGTTGCCCCACCGCTTGGTGCGGAACTTGGGGTCGTTGACGCGGTACCTGAGCTCGCGAGGAGAGGAGGGCGTCAGACAAGGCTCGCTCGAGAGAGAAGGGCGAGGAGAGATAGAGAGAGGGTAGGGACGCACCAGTACAGCGGCTCGAGGATGGTGCCGCCCCACAGGCCGGCGTCGGCGAGACACATCCAAAAGTCCCAGTCCTCGCCGCCGTCGTGGAACTCGACCTCGTTGTACCGACAGCCGCTCATCTCGAGCGCGCGCGACGTGTACACGGCCGCGTTCGGGACAAAGTTGCCGAGGCGCCAGTTGCGCTGGCCCGAGTGCAGGCCCGTCGTCACCGTTTCGTTCGACGCACCCCACTTGACGTACCGGAACCCGCCGACGTCCCAGTCCGGGTTGCTCTCGAGCATCCAGCACGTCTTCTCGAGCGCCGTAAACTCGAACAGGTCGTCGTCGTCGAGCGAGACGAGGTACTTGGGCGGTGGGTCGAAGTGCGCGAACACGTGGTCGAGCCCGACGTTGCGCGCGGCGGCGAGCCCGGCGTCGCCCGGGTTCTTGACGACGACGACACGCGGGTCACGCGCGAGCTCGGCCAGGAGGTCGCGCGAGCTGGGCTCGACCGTATGGTCGTCGACGATGACCCACACAAAGTTCTGGAGCGACTGGCCGAACAGGGTCGTCGCCGTCTCGCGCATGACGGCGCGCGGGTTGTTGGTCGCCGTGATGATGGCGACGACGGGTCGCGACAGGTCGGCTCGAGGGTCAAGGAGGAACTGGGTTGCGGGTGGACGAGACGGGGCGACGGGCGTGTTGTTGTAGATCATGAGGCGCTCGAGGTGGTGGACCGGGAGCGGGTGCTCGGGCGGACCAAACGGGTGCGCCTTGGACGACAGGAGCGTGCCTCGCCGGGCCGGCGTTCGAGAAGGCGCAGCGCGCGACCACAGGACGACGGCGAGGCCCAGGACGACGCAGACGAGGAAGACGGGGATCCGCCGTCGGCTCCTCCCAACTCGGACGTGGCTCGACAGCGGTCGGGACCGGCGATCTGGCGGACCATGACGCGCCGTGTCACGCTGCGCGAGAGGGAGGAGAGGGCGAGGAAGTCAGCCTCATCTCGAACGTGCTGCCCGCGAGCTCTGCTGCCCGACACGTCTCGCCCCCATCCGCGCCTCGACAGCTCCTGCGCTCTGTTTCGATCCTCCCCTTGGCCGCTGTCAAGCGGGCGGCCCATCCGACCGCTCGAGACTGCACCCCCACCGCGTCCGCCCGGGATGCGGAGGTGGGCGAGGTCGAGAGCGCCAGCGGCACGCGCGAGAGCGAGAGCTGAACTCACCGAGAGCCATGACATGTGCGACGGGCGTAGCCCAGATCGGTACGAGCGCACGAGGTCGAGAGAGCGGCGACGGAAGGCAGCAGCGAGGCTGGCAGAGAGGCTCCCGGCGATTGCACTCGGTTTTGTAATCGAGAATACAAAACCCCATTTGCAGCTCGCCCCAAAGCTGCTGTCCACCGTCCCCGCTCTCACTTCTCCTCCCCTCAGCTCGACTCAGTCGACACAACCCGCACGAGGTGAGCCTTCGAGTCCATGATATCGCAGGTTGCCTCAGCTCCTGCAGCAGGCGCGGCGCAGCCCTCGGCAGCTGGGCGTCATCGCACACGCGCAACCTCCCTCGTCCTCCTCTCCTCCCTCCCATCTCTCGTCGCCCACACCCTGACCCCGCTCCTCCCCCGAACCCAGTCCCGCGCCCTCTCCAAGCCTTCGCCCACCTTCGCCGCCGCGTGGTCCTCGTCAAAGCCTCGTCCGCCCTCGTCGTCGCCCCGCCCTCATCGCCCTCGTCGCTCCCCGACACCTCGTCGCCCTCGCCAGATCCCCCGCACGCCTGCACGGGCCGCGTAGCTGATCTCCTGTTGCACCGTCCCCCTCCCCTACCCCTCGTCCCCTCACCGCCATGGCCGACTCGCTCACCGCCGCGTCCAGCGACTCTGCCCGCAAGCGCTCGCGCTCCACCTCCCTGTCGAACGACGCCTCGGCCAAGAAGGCCAACCAGGCCGCCACCGCGCCCGCCAAGCTCGAGGTCGACGATGAGATGCCGCCCGCGACCGAGACCGAGCCCGAGGCCGACGACGGCACCGACGCGCCTCAAGGAGCCGCCGACGGCAACGACGACAGCGCCATCAAGACCGAGGAGACGCCCGTCCAGATGAACGTCGACTCGAGCGGCATCCCGGCCAAGCCCGTCGTCGACCTCCCCGCCAACCCGGAGCAGGCGGCCCACGACGCGGCGCCGGCGTCGCAGACGATCCAGATGCGCACCCTCATCGTCACCCAGGACGCGAGCATCATCATCGGCAAGCAGGGCAAGAACATCATCGAGATCCGCGAGAAGAGCGGCGCCAAGATCACCATCACCGAGGCCGTCCCGGGCAACCCGGAGCGCATCATGTCGGTCGGCGGCCCTCTCGACGCCGTGTCCAAGGTGCGCACCTCGCTCCTCTCCCTTCAGTCCTCCCTCGCAGACCATGTCTCTCGAACGAGCGACTGACACATTCGTCCCTCCCTCGCAGGCTTTCGGCCTCATCGTCCGCCGCATCAACGACGAGCCGTTCGACGTCCCCTCGGTCCCAGGCTCGCGCGCCGTCACGATTCGCTTCATCATCCCGCACTCGCGCATGGGCTCGGTCATCGGCAAGGGCGGCAGCAAGATCAAGGAGATCCAGGAGGCGTCGGGCGCAAAGCTCCAGGCGAGCGAGGCCATGCTTCCCGGCAGCTCCGAGGTCCGTCCTCGCCTTTCTCCTCCTCGACCTCTCCTCCGCCTCGGCGTACAGCTCGAGTCGGGGTACTGACGCTCGTCCTCCCGCCGTGCAGCGCGTCCTGTCGGTCTCGGGCGTCGCCGACGCCGTCCACATCGCCGTCTACTACGTCGGCTCGGTCCTCCAGGAGCACCCGCCGCAAGCTTCGAACCAGTCGTACCGCCCGAGCGGCGGCGACTACCGCGGCCCGCCTCCCGAGCGCGGCCCGCGCCCCGAACGTGGGCCCGGCGGCGCCGTGCCGGCCCAGGTCGGGCCCGGCGCGCAGACGCAGCAGCTGTACATCCCGACTGAGCTCGTCGGCTCGATCATCGGCAAGGGCGGCAGCAAGATCAACGGTGCGTCCCTCGTCCTCCTCCACCTTGTCCTCGTCCTCGTCCCGCCTCGACTCCTCGCGGGCTGCGCCAGCTCGACCATGTTCGCTGACTCGTTGCCCGCCGTGCAGAGGTCCGCTCCATGTCGGCTTGCCAGATCAAGGTGCGTCTCGTCTTTCTTTCTTGTCTGCTCGAGCGAGCGCTAACCACCTCGTTGCGAACAGATTGCAGAGCCTGGCGAGGTCGGTCCCGGCGGCGCACCCAACGAGCGTGTACGTCCTCGATGCCTCCTCTCTCTGTCGTTCGTTCGTCCCTGTCCTGCGCCTGACGGTCCCTCTCCGTCCTTGTCGCAGCTCGTCACGATCACGGGCCAGCCGGCGGGCATCCAGGTGGCCGTGCGGATGCTCTACCAGCGTCTCGAGCAGGAGAAGTCGAAGCAGCTGTCGTAGATGGCGGGCCTGCTGGAGCTGCATCTTCTCTGTCTTTCTTTGCGACTGTTTTGACTCGGCGGAACGAGTGAGAGAGCGAGAGCAAGTCTCTCCCTGCCCTCTCTCTCTCTCTCTCTCTCTCTCTCTCTCTCTCTCTCTCTCTCTCTCTCTCTCTCTCTCTTTCCAGCTTTGCGTGGCTCAGTGAGAGCTTCCGTTGCAGCTCCCATCTCCCCAGCTACGGCTCTCAGCCAGGGCAGCTGCTCGACAACCCTGCTGCCGTCCCGCCCGCCCGCCGCCCGCCGTCGCCACCCTCCTCTGGTCGAGCTTGTCGACGCGGCACATTCTCACCGCCGACAGCCGACACGATGCGCATCGAGCGAGCTGTGCGCGAGAGGGCGATGAGGCCGCAACCGAGGGGAACAGGGAGTCTGGGGCGAGTTGGAGAGCAGGGACGGGCCGAGAGGGACGGCGGCCTCGTTGGTGGAGCGGGAAAGGTCGACGGCGACGGAGCCTGCGGAACGTGGCGAGTCAATTCGGCGTCTCGCCGCCGAGACGGTGAACGAGTGGACGTACAGAACAGCAGAGAGCCGGGACGCGCCGACCCTCGCAGAGTCGAGTCCGCCGGTCGGAAGGCGAGGTCCTGCAGGTGGGCTGGGTCAGCGAGTCTGGTTGCAGAGCGAGAGAAACGTGCGACGCACTTAGATGGTCCTGCTCGAGAGGATGGCCGTGCCCACCAGCTGCTGCCGTGCCGCCATCGCCCCAGGAGACCGTGCCCCCACTCGACTCCCTCCCTCAGCCGAGAGTCGAGCGACCGCTCGTGCTCGCCCGCCGCGCCTCGCCGGATACACGAGCCGGGCCGTGTGGCATGCTCAAGGCGAGAGGAGGTCGCGGTCGCGTCGCAACGTGCGGTATGGCGCGAGTGGATGACGTCGAAGGGTGAGGGAGGCGGTGCGAGGAGGAGGGGAGAGCGCGGTCGGCTGTCGCTCGTCGCGGGGCGTAGTGCGGGTCCTGGATGGGGTTATTGGTACTGCTGGAGCGGACTGGCGAGGTACTGGAGGGCCCAAGAGGGCTGCGTGTCGAGGGTCGACGCGGGCGAACAAAGGTTGCGGAGGAAGGCGCAGGTGGGCCGAGTAAAGGCTGGGGGCGCGTCGAACGCGACACCACAGTCGGGGCAGAGCTTGGCGAGGTGCTCAGGCGTGCAGCTGCTCAGCCTGTGCGAGAGTGGTGGAGAAAGGGGCGGGGCCTTGGCCTCTCCTGAGGCCAAGGTACGCCGTCCGGCCGCTTCCTCTCCACGACTACAACCTCGACGAGCCTGCGCTACCTACTGCGGTCTGCTCGATCGAGGCCCCGGCCATGGCGCCGCCACCGCGCCCGGCCGCTACCGCCGCGCTCGCCAACGCGCTCGTCGCTCCTCCTCGCCAAGTTCGTTTCGCCGACCAGCCCGACCACCGGCACGTCACTCCTTCTACCTCCACTGCGACACAGCAACCTCCTCCACCCGTGCTCCCCTTCCCTCCCGCCCAACTCGCCGACCTCCCTCGCCCCGGACGCGTCGCCCTTCGTCCTGGCGAGGCGCCTCCTCCCCGACCACCTTCTGCGACCGTCGTACGTCGAGCCCTCGACGGACAACCTGTCCCCATCGCCGGCAAGGCGCGCCGCGTCCCCATCACGGACCAGTCGGCCCTCGCGCACGCCTCGACGTCGAGCCAGAACGAGCAGGTCCGCGGCCGCTCCGCCGCCATGGTCGCCCAGATCCCGTCCGACAAGCTCAAGAAGGTCCTCGGCGCGCCCAAGCCCGGCTCGACTTCGACCGCCGCCGCCGCACGCTCGATCGTCGCGGCACGCTCGACCACCGCCGCCGCCGCCTCGACCTGGGCGCGCCGCGAGGACCCGACCAACGCGTTCGCCAACGCGGGCCCGTCCATGGTCGCGGCCAAGAAGAAGCGCCCGTCGGACGTCGACGCCGGCGGCGACCTCAAGCGCGCGCGCGGCGTCGCCGGACCTGTCGCCCGCCGCGACGACGGCCAGGCCGGCTCGAGCGTCGGCCACCTCGGCGGCGCCGCACGGCCCGGGCCGCTCCGCCACGAGCGCAAAAGCACGGCGCAGCGTGCGCTGTCGCTCATTCCCGTCAAGGGCTCGGTCGCGTCGGTCGGCGGCAGCAGGTCGTCGGCGTGGGCCGCCAAGGTCGGCCCCGTTATATATTCTTTTTTTTCTTATAAAACTTAAAACCTTAGAGGCTATTTAAGTTGCTGATTTATATTAATTTTATTGTTCATCCTCCCCTGCAGCACGAGCCGCAGCCGTCGGGCTCGGGCGCCGTCAAGCCGCCGAGCAAGGTCGGCGCCGGCCTCGACAACGGCAAGGGCAAGGCGCGCGAGCTCGGCGAGAAGCCTGTCGAGCCGTCGATGAGCGCACGCAAGCGCGGTGCCCGTGCGAGGGACGGCGCGCCGCCCGTCGGCATCAAGCCGTCCGCGTGGGCCTACAGCGCGAGGACGGCTCCGCCCACCACGACGCAGCCGGCCGCCCTGCCCGCTCGTGCCGGCGACACGCGCATGGCGCCGCCGCAGCCCGCGCCCGTCCGCTCGCTCGCCGAGCTCCCGTTGTTCAAGCGCAAGACGCTCTCGCTCGCCGAGATGAGGGCTGCCGCCGACGTGCGCCGCGCTGCACGAGCTCCCGAGCTCGCGCCCAGCCTCGACGTCGAGCGCCTCGCCGAAGGCCTCGCGCAGCACGCGCCGGTGCGCCCGCCTTCCAGCACGGCGCTTTACGAGCGCAACGCCCGTCCGCTCGCCGACACGAAGGCGCTCGTCGACGCCCGCCGCCGCGCACAACCCGCCGAGCCCGCGCCCGACCTCGACCTCGAGCAGCTCGCGCACGAGCACGCGCAGCACGCGCCGCCGCCACCGCGTCGGCCGAGCCAGCTGCAGAAGGACCACCGCCGCGGCGACAAGAAGGTCGTCACCGCCTTGAAGCGTCGCCGGTCCGACTTCAAGCCGCTCGGCGGCACCCTCCTGACGAGCAGGAACACGTGGCACGACGAGCTCGACGACGCGGCCGTCGGCGGCTCGGGAACGGGCACGGCGGCGCGCACGGGCGCGCTCGAGCAGCCGCTCCGGCCACACCGAGCGCCTGACCGCCCCGTCCTGCCGACCTGGCTCCCCTTCCGCGTCGACGAGCCGCCGAGTCCCGACGTCGGCGCACTCGGCGAGGAGGGCGCGGCGCCCGACACGGAGCAGATCGGCTCGGCGGCCGGCGCACTCGGCGCCGTCCTCCTCGGCCCCGCTCCCACCAGCTCGGAGCACGGCGGCGTCCCGGCCAACAACATGGCGGGCCGAGCCTCGGGCGTGCAGCTCGAGCCGAGGGCGGCACCACGACAAGGTGCCTCGGACGCTCGGGTCCACGACTCGCCCCACGCCAAGGTCGGCAGGGCCGACGCCCTCTTTGCCAAGTTCGACGCGCTCCGGGCGTCGTTGGCCACGCCACCCGCCGGCGACGAGACGCCCGTCGACCCGTCGAGCCCGTCTGCGGCCGCAAGCCGCTCACCGGAGCCCGCTTTCGCGCGCAAGGACGTGCCGGTCCTCCTCCGCCACTCGCGCCCACATGCGTCCCTCTCCTCCTCTCCTCGCTCCGACATCGAGCAAGCCCTCGTCCCCAACGCCAACCTCGCCGACCTCGTCCCCAACACCGACCTCGCCGCCGTTGGCCACGACGACGAGTACAGCGGCGCCTCGCTCGCCGGGCTCGGCAGCAGCGACGCAGCTCCCGCCGCCGCCGCCGACTCGTCGTCGTCGTCGTCCTCGTCCATCACGGACAGCGAGCGCAACTCGGTTGCCTCGCCGAGTCGGCACGGGTCCAGTCGCGAGGTGCTCGCCGCCGACCGCGGCTGGCGGCAGCTCGCAGGCGAGGGCGACATGGACGGCGTGCAGGGCAGCTTGGAGGGGGACCTCGGCACGCTCAGCGAGGCGTGGAGCGACGGGCACGACCACCAGGTGCGTCACACGCCCTCTCTCCCTCGTCTCGCCCTCTCTGCCTCTCGACTCTCGGGAACGTGTACTGATCCCTGTCCGCCTACAGGAGCACTCGTCCTCCCCGATCCTCCAAGAGCGTCTCGCACGTGTGCGTCCCCTAATCCGCCTCGGTCTCCTCTTTCTCTGCGGCCGAAACTGACCCTCGCGCCCGTCGGTCGCAGCCTGCCACCTCGTCAGCCGCCGCTTCCCCATCCTCCTCGACCCCGTCCGCCGCCGCCACCGAACTCGGCACGTTGGACGAGGAGCGAGACTGGCCGAAGCTGTCGAGCGAGGAGGAGGGCGACGTCCGCGGCGGCGCTTCGCCCGACCTCGCACGCGGCCTCGGCCTTGCGGCGCAAGGACGCTCGCCGTCGCCGTCGCCCCAGGGCCAACCGGGCCTCCGCGACTCGGCCGCCGGTGGCTCCAGCCGGCACTCGGTCGGCTCACTCGACCCGTCGGCCGGCGAGATGGGCGACACGAACCTCGGCGGCGGTACCGGCGCAGACGCGGTCGGCCTTAACCTAGACCTCGAGCGCATGGCCCATGTCGGCGACGTCGACATGAATCAGGAGTTTGGAGGCGGGTTCGACGACGAGGCGCGCCAGGGCTGTGCGTCGCCGGTCCTCCCGCTCCCCTCCCCTCGCGTCTCGAGCTCATCACTCGAGCCATCCCTGCAGCATCGTCCGGTGGCGAGGAGGAGCAGCTCTCGGTTGGCGAGAGCATCCGTCGGGAGGGCCGCGAGCGCGAGGGCGACGAGGTGAGTTGGCCGTCCGCCGTTCACTTCGGCCCCTCCTCCTCGACAGTACTGACTCCCTCCCCTTCTTCCATTTCCTTCCCTCGCTCGCTCGCAGGCCATGTTGGAGCTCGAGGCCGACAAGAAGGCCCGCCAGGGCGAGGGGTCGGGCGGGCAGGCGGATGGGGCGGCGGATCGGGCGACGCCTGTGCGTCCTGCGCGTCCTCGTCTCTCTCTCTCTCGTTCCCGCACTCACACACTTTCTCTGCGCTTGCAGGGCGAGTCGTCGCCGCTTCAGCGGCCGTCGTCCGCCATCAGGCGCGGGAAAAAGGTCCGTCCACCGTCCACCTCAACTCGGTTTCCTCCTCCCCAGCGGCACTGACTCCCTGCCCTCCTGCCATCAACCTTGTCTTCCTCTGCAGGTGCAGCGTCGTCGCGTCCTGCCGCCGAGGAGGGCACGCGCCTTCCATGTCGCCGAGCCGGTGCGTCCCTCGCTCGCCCCTTCTCCCTCTTCCCGCCGGTCGCCTCTCGGACGCAGGACTGACCTGCCGCCCTCGCACTTCCGTGCCGTACCAGGTCGCCACCGACACCGACACCGACCTCAGCAGCGAGTCGGCGAGCTCCTCTTGCGAGGAGTCGGACCTTTACCTCGGGCGCCCGAGCCGACGTGTGCGTCCCGCTCTCATCCTTCAGGCGCTGTTGTCGGTCGAGAGCGAGCACTGACTTCTCGGCGCCGCAGCAGAAGAGGAGGGCGACTAAGAAGGTCTCGATTCGGTACCTCACCGAGGAGCGCAAGATGTACGAGGAGGTGCGCGACGCAGGAGGTCGCGTTCCTACGGGCAGGATGTAGAAGCTTCTTCTGGTGCGCTCCTCTTTCTCGTTCTCTGGCGAGCATCTCTCGCACCGGCCCTGACTCTCGCCCGTCGTCGTCGGTTCTTCGCCCACAGGCCACGTCACCCAAGAGCGATCCTCCCTTCTTCCTTCTTCCTTCTTGAGGTACGCCTTCTCTCTCTCTCTCGTCTCTTCCCTTGACGGCAGCCGAGAAGAAAAGGCGCTTGCCGTCCACCTCCTCATCTCTTTTCCTTGCCTGGCGCAGCTCGGCCACCTCGCAAACCAGCTTTATCTCTTCTGCCGGTGCGCACTCTGTCTCTCTCTGTCTCTCTCTGTCTTTCTCTTCGCGACGACCGTGTCGTCGACCTTAGAAACGTTGAGCTAACCTTTTATCTCGCCTCACCCTCTCGCACTGCCATCCCTCTCGCCTTCCTCGCTCTGCGTCCGCGCAGTCTTATACCCCTCTCTCAGCATCCGTGATTTTATTTGTCGTTGTCCTGAATATATTTGCATGTCTCGTCTGCGGCTTCAAGTGCACTGCGAGCTTCGAGAGAGCTGGCGAGCACGAGATCTCGAACTCTGCGCGGTGAGAGAAGCTCGTGTCGCCCGCAGGAGCGATCCTTCTTCTTGGCGCGCAGCTCGGCGTAACAAAAAGGGACTTCGAGCGTCTCACACTGCGCTGCTGCAGCACGAGGGCCGCGAGACGTATCAAAGAGCGAGCCACACCCGGCCCTCGCCCGGCGCGAGGCTCGCCGCCGCCTCTTGCCTCTCGCCACCTCGCCTCGCACGCGCCTGCTGCCGTGCGAGCGCTCACTATCCATCGTCGAGGCATCATCATGGCCACTGCGCCCATCAGCGTCGCGGCAGCAGCTCTCACGGACCCGCATGACGTCGTCATCAGCTCGGCGGTCGGCTCCCTCTTCGACCTCTATCACGACGGCATCGGGTCCCTGTTCGCGGCCACGGAACTGTCTATCGTCATCGGCATGGTCCATAGGCTGTCGCGCAGCTTCATCTACGTCCATCTGGTTCATCTTGGGCTCGTCGCCATCGAGGTCCGACTCGCTGTCCGAGGTCAAAGGTGGGCGGGCGCTGCAGGCGCAGGTGGGGGACCGAGGCGACCCGTGAGGCAGCTAACCTAGCCTCCCCCACCACCCGCAACGACCCCGAGCACCGCCAACCGATCACGAGCACAACCCACCTCGACGAGGTGCCACGATCCTGCTCAGGAGGGGGAACCTATCGCCGATTTTTTTCCATTTTCTCGCAAACCTACTCGCACGACTCTCGCGATCCGCCCCGTATCAGCGTCAAGTCGAGGCGACGCTTCCTTGCCGAGATACGGCCACCCCGGCGCCGGCCGCCCTTTCTGGCCGACGGCGGGCGCAAACTCGTTCCTGCTTGCTCAGCTTTACGCTCACGGATCGCTCTCCGACAAGGTGGCGGGCGCACCCCTGCCGCGGTCGTGATCTGAGCCCTTGAGCGCCGGCGAGGGCCTGCTCCTCCCTCGGCAGGGGCGGGATCTGCGGTCGCTCTGCTTTTTCTGTGTCGCTCGGGCGGCCCGCCACTGACGCAGACGCTCTCAGACTCTCGCTCGAGGTCTGGGCGAGCGAGCGCAGGCAAGCGCTCGACGAGCAAGAGCAGGTTCAGCTCGCCCGCTGTGCTACTCGCTCGCCTCCTCCCTCTCAACCTTCTTCCGCCCTACCTGGCCACTCTCGTCAGGCGACACGTACCCAGACGCTCCTCATTCCCGCCTCTTGAACTCGTGGCTCTCTCTCGCTTCCGCAGAGCAACCTTCGCAAGTTGACTTGCCTCGCCTCTTGAGTCTCTCCCTCGCTCACTTGGTCATCTGAGTGCTCCTCCAGATAGCGAGATCTCAGTCTCGCTCGAAAGTATGACGGAAGGCCAGGTCAAGCTCGTCAAGTGTGAGCAAAGCGCAGAGCGAGGTCCGAGCGGTCGGTTGCGGTGAGAAGAGAAGGACAAGCGGGTTGTGTGACAGCGAGAGGGACAAGTGGCGGCCCGACGACGTCGACAAGAGCTGCTACTCGATCTCGTCAAAGCGGTGACGAGGTTAGAGAGCCGGTCTCTTGTCAAGCTGGTCGTGCGAGCGCGACTGCAGCTTGGGAGCAGTGCGAGGGAGACGCTACAAGCAAGCGGCGTCGACAGCGTCCCTCTTGTCTCGCGTCGCAAGCGACATCGATTGAGCGATCTCGTGGCGCAACCAGAGAAAAGCTTCGGGCGCCTGGGTGCGCTGCGAGGGGCGAGAGAGCGCGAACCTCTGCGCGGAAAGGGAAGCTCGCGTCGTCCACGGAAGCGATTCTTCGTTTCGTGGGTCGCAGCTCGGAGGGTTGAAGAGTTGCTTGAGAACATCAAGAGGCGCTCTGCTGCACCACAAAGGCTGCAGAGCAAGCCGCCAGCCATGACACGGTTGAATTGGGCTGCCCTTGCAGGGCAGATCAGAGTACGATACGCTCTAAATGGTTAGCTAGGTTAGAGGTTGAACGGACCTTGTGGCCCAGCTCTGCAGAGGCAAACCTGTTCCTGGCCAGCCCCACCCTCTCGGACCCAAACCGTTTGCGCGCGCAGCTCCATGAGGCAGAGGTCTCCCAGCCTACCGCTCGGCACAGGGACCATTTGATAGTATACCTTGATGGTAATGGAGCCAGATGTGCGAAATTGCATCGGTAGCATGCTCAGCGGGACCATCCCCCCGAGGCTGCACCTTCTTTTTCCTTCCAGCCGGCCGTGGTGCGGTCGGATTGGGCTGCCCTTGCAGGGCAGAATAGAGTACGATACGCTCTAAATGGTTAGCTAGGTTAGAGGTTGAACGGACCTTGTGGCCCAGCTTGGCAGAGGCAAACCTGTTCCTGGCAAGCCCCACCCTCTCGGACCCAAACCGTTGGCACGCGCAGCTCCATGAGGCAGAGGTCTCCCAGCCTACCGCTCGGCACAGGGACCATTTGATAGCATACCTTGATGGTAATGGAGCCAAATTTGCGAAATTGCATCGGTAGCATGCTCAGCGGGACCATCCCCCCGAGGCTGCACCTTCTTTTTCCTTCCAGCCGGCCGTGGTGCGGTCGGATTGGGGTGCCCTTGCAGGGCAGAATAGAGTACGATACGCTCTAAATGGTTAGCTAGGTTAGAGGTTGAACGGACCTTGTAGCCCAGCTTGGCAGAGGCAAACCTGTTCCTGGCAAGCCCCACCCTCTCGGACCCAAACCGTTTGCGCGCGCAGCTCCATGAGGCAGAGGTCTCCCAGCCTACCCCTCGGCGACACAGGGACCATTTAATAGCATACCTTGATGGTAATGGAGCCAGATTTGCGATAATGCATCGGTAGCATGCTCAGCGGGACCATCCCCCTGAGGCTGCACCTTCTTTTTCCTTCCAGCCGGCCGCGGTGCGGTTGGATTGGGCTGCCCCCGCAGGGCAGAATAGAGTACGATACGCTCTAAATGGTTAGCTAGGTTAGAGGTTGAACGGACCTTGTGGCCCAGCTCTGCAGAGGCAAACCTGTTCCTGGCCAGCCCCACCCTCTCGGACCCAAACCGTTTGCGCGCGCAGCTCCATGAGGCAGAGGTCTCCCAGCCTACCGCTCGGCACAGGGACCATTTGATAGTATTACCTTGATGGTAATGGAGCCAGATTTGCGAAATTGCATCGGTAGCATGCTCAGCGGGACCATCCCCCCGAGGCTGCACCTTCTTTTTCCTTCCAGCCGGCCGTGGTGCGGTTGGATTGGGCTGCCCTTGCAGGGCAGAGTAGAGTACAATACGCTCTAAGTGGTTAGCTAGGTTAGAGGTTGAACGGACCTTGTAGCCCAGCTCGGCAGAGGCAAACCTGTTCCTGGCCAGCCCACCTCTCGGACCCAAACGTTTGCGCGCGCAGCTCTATGAGGCAGAGGTCTCCCAGCCTACCGCTTGGCACAGGGACCATTTAACAGCATACCTTGATGGTAATGGAGCCAGATTTGCGATAATGCATCGGTAGCATGCTCAGCGGGACCATCCCCCTGAGGCTGCACCTTCTTTTTCCTTCCAGCCGGCCGTGGTGCGGTTGGATTGGGCTGCCCTTGCAGGGCAGAATAGAGTACGATACGCTCTAAATGGTTAGCTAGGTTAGAGGTTGAACGGACCTTGTGGCCCAGCTCTGCAGAGGCAAACCTGTTCCTGGCCAGCCCCACCCTCTCGGACCCAAACCGTTTGCGCGCGCAGCTCCATGAGGCAAAGGTCTGCCAGCCTACCGCTCGGCACAGGGACCATTTGATAGTATACCTTGATGGTAATGGAGCCAGATTTGCGAAATTGCATCGGCAGCATGCTCAGCGGGACCATCCCCCCGAGGCTGCACCTTCTTTTTCCTTCCAGCCGGCCGTGGTGTGGTCGGATTGGGCTGCCCTTGCAGGGCAGAATAGAGTACGATACGCTCTAAATGGTTAGCTAGGTTAGAGGTTGAACGGACCTTGTGGCCCAGCTCTGCAGAGGCAAACCTGTTCCTGGCCAGCCCCACCCTCTCGGACCCAAACCGTTTGCGCGCGCAGCTCCATGAGGCAGAGGTCTCCCAGCCTACCGCTCGGCACAGGGACCATTTGATAGTATTACCTTGATGGTAATGGAGCCAGATTTGCGAAATTGCATCGGTAGCATGCTCAGCGGGACCATCCCCCCGAGGCTGCACCTTCTTTTTCCTTCCAGCCGGCCGTGGTGCGGTCGGATTGGGCTGCCCTTGCAGGGCATAATAGAGTACGATACGCTCTAAATGGTTAGCTCGGTTAGAGGTTGAACGGACCTTGTGGCCCAGCTCTGCAGAGGCAAACCTGTTCCTGGCCAGCCCCACCCTCTCGGACCCAAACCGTTTGCGCGCGCAGCTCCATGAGGCAGAGGTCTCCCAGCCTACCGCTCGGCACAGGGACCATTTGATAGTATACCTTGATGGTAATGGAGCCAGATTTGCGATAATGCATCGGTAGCATGCTCAGCGGGACCATCCCCCCGAGGCTGCACCTTCTTTTTCCTTCCAGCCGGCCGTGGTGCGGTCGGATTGGGCTGCCCTTGCAGGGCATAATAGAGTACGATACGCTCTAAATGGTTAGCTAGGTTAGAGGTTGAACGGACCTTGTGGCCCAGCTTGCAGAGGCAAACCTGTTCCTGGCAAGCCCCACCCTGTTGGACCCAAACCGTTTGCGCGCGCAGCTCCATGAGGCAGAGGTCTGCCAGCCTACCGCTTGGCACAGGGACCATTTGATAGTATACCTTGATGGTAATGGAGCCAGATTTGCGATATTGCATTGGTAGCATGCTCAGCGGGACCATCCCCCCGAGGCTGCACCTTCTTTTTCCTTCCAGCCGGCCGTGGTGCGGTCGGATTGGGGTGCCCTTGCAGGGCAGAATAGAGTACGATACGCTCTAAATGGTTAGCTCGGTTAGAGGTTGAACGGACCTTGTGGCCCAGCTCTGCAGAGGCAAACCTGTTCCTGGCCAGCCCCACCCTGTTGGACCCAAACCGTTTGCGCGCGCAGCTCCATGAGGCAGAGGTCTGCCAGCCTACCGCTCGGCACAGGGACCATTTGATAGTATACCTTGATGGTAATGGAGCCAGATTTGCGATATTGCATTGGTAGCATGCTCAGCGGGACCATCCCCCCGAGGCTGCACCTTCTTTTTCCTTCCAGCCGGCCATGGTGCGGTCGGATTGGGCTGCCCTTGCAGGGCATAATAGAGTACGATACGCTCTAAATGGTTAGCTAGGTTAGAGGTTGAATCGACCTTGTGGCCCAGCTCTGCAGAGGCAAACCTGTTCCTGGCCAGCCCCACCCTCTCGGACCCAAACCGTTTGCGCGCGCAGCTCCATGAGGCAGAGGTCTCCCAGCCTACCGCTCGGCACAGGGACCATTTGATAGCATACCTTGATGGTAATGGAGCCAGATTTGTGAAATTGCATCGGTAGCATGCTCAGCGGGACCATCCCCCCGAGGCTGCACCTTCTTTTTCCTTCCAGCCGGCCGTGGTGCGGTCGGATTGGGCTGCCCTTGCAGGACATAATAGAGTACGATACGCTCTAAATGGTTAGCTAGGTTAGAGGTTGAACGGACCTTGTGGCCCAGCTCTGCAGAGGCAAACCTGTTCCTGGCAAGCCCCACCCTGTTGGACCCAAACCGTTTGCGCGCGCAGCTCCATGAGGCAGAGGTCTCCCAGCCTACCGCTCGGCACAGGGACCATTTGACAGCATACCCTGATGGTAATGGAGCCAGATTTGCGATAATGCATCGGTAGCATGCTCAGCGGGACCATCCCCCCGAGGCTGCACCTTCTTTTTCCTTCCAGCCGGCCGTGGTGCGGTTGGATTGGGCTGCCCTTGCAGGGCAGAATAGAGTACGATACGCTCTAAATGGTTAGCTAGGTTAGAGGTTGAACGGACCTTGTGGCCCAGCTCTGCAGAGGCAAACCTGTTCCTGGCCAGCCCCACCCTCTCGGACCCAAACCGTTTGCGCGCGCAGCTCCATGAGGCAAAGGTCTGCCAGCCTACCGCTCGGCACAGGGACCATTTGATAGTATACCTTGATGGTAATGGAGCCAGATTTGCGAAATTGCATCGGCAGCATGCTCAGCGGGACCATCCCCCCGAGGCTGCACCTTCTTTTTCCTTCCAGCCGGCCGTGGTGTGGTCGGATTGGGCTGCCCTTGCAGGGCAGAATAGAGTACGATACGCTCTAAATGGTTAGCTAGGTTAGAGGTTGAACGGACCTTGTGGCCCAGCTCTGCAGAGGCAAACCTGTTCCTGGCCAGCCCCACCCTCTCGGACCCAAACCGTTTGCGCGCGCA